CACCCGTAGTGCATGTGAAGAAAAGAAGGGAGCAGCTGAAAATACTTTCGTGTAAAAGGCTTCACTCTGCTGTTCAATGCATTCGGGTTTAGGTACAGTGAAAGCAAATAGATTGCAAGTGGGTAGAAAAGATCTGGAGGAAATTGTCTAATCAGTGGCTAAAATCAAAGCAGCAATGAAATTTAAAATTTCACTCAGTATAATACATTATAGTGGTTACAGTTATGTCATATGAACTGCCGTCTGGTTGAATGTGTGCAGCTTCAGCCATCTAACAGTGTTGGTAAATTGAGTGGCAGTTATAAAAAGAAGAAAAGCATGACACACATCATGAGGAGTCATTAACGGCGCTTTGTTAAATTAGTGCACACATGTTGTGGTATGGTGGGATTCTAACCATCACGAGTGCTTATTTCACCAAGTTGAAGTCTATTGTTGTTATTGCATGGCAAATATGGGCTTACTTAATACATACAGCATGTGGTGGTCCCAAAGTTTGAAACTGTCAAGTGAAGTAAGTAGGGTGAGAGGTCTTATCATTTGTGAGGTACATAAAAGGTGACATCACATGCATTGAAGCTTCTAGAAGCCAGGATGTAGCACTGCTCAGCTGAAGGATGCAGGTTCAATTCTCTGCCACAGCATTTTCATTTTGATGGAGGTGAAACAAAACACTTGCAAATGTCGGAGTAGCCAAGCCCATAAAACAGGTCTTCGTTTTTGGGCAGGGGTGTGGGGGGTTTACTAACACCATTTAAAGTTTTCACAAGTAACACACAGCAATGAACTATATTTAGGGAGTGCTCTGTAAAGGGACACTAGCCTCAAATAACAATTTACGTCGGAGTGAAAGCTCAATGTACAACAATATCTACAACGATAGTATTATCAACAACAGTGCCCTACTTAATGAGAACTTAAGGTAAATGCACAAGAATACATGGGCCGCAATAGGACATTCTCAAAATGATCCGGACGTCGTCAGACGTACCGCCTACAATTAATCACTTGTAATGGATCTAGCTGCACTAAATAAAGAACTTTCTGTGCATCAAGAGATGCAATAAAATGCTGCTTGTTCGTCTGTGCTTGATTCATAGAAAAAAGAATTGCCGGACCTTACTATAGGGAAGTTGATTCACGGAAAAAATAACCGCCGGACGTTACTATAGGAAATGGCGCGAGTGCTTAAAAAAAATTCAACCACCGCGTGTTTAAACTGGACAGGTCGCAGCATCCAGAGGGGCCTAGTTAAACCAAAACACATCAGCCAACTCGGAGCCAATAGCAGGAAATTTATCAATGGCCGTTGTTGCTGCTGTGGCTCCCGCTGCTTTTGTTCTGCTGCTACTAGTGTCGGCGGCCGCGCAGTAAAGCCGGGAAACGTTCTGCGCGGCAACAGTGATGTGAGACGTTCTGCTTCTCGAGGTGGGCAACTTGAAGTATGCTAACCCGGTGCGGACCTCTAAACCATGACTTTATTTCAAAATAAGCCCTTCTTCGGCACAAAAGTAACACTAAAAGATTTATGCAACGCTATTTAAACAATCAACATGGACTTCATAGTTGCTTCTATAGTGTCCTGTTAACACTTTCGGGACCACGAGAAATTTGGCCGTTCTTAGGTAGTCCAGAAGACCACATTTTTTTAGGGCACGTAAAGTTACTGATGTTAATGTTTAGGGTGTCAAATTGTACCGCTAGGAGTTATTTTTTCAAACACGGTCAGTTTGAAATCACAAGTTTATTAACAGTGGTACGAAAAAAATCATCAATTGAAGAACATTGTAAACATGAACAAAGAAATTTTATAGAACTATTAACGCTGCTCTAAACAGGCTAAGCATAAAAAGAAATAGAGATAAACATTAAGTGCAAGGAGCAGACACAATTATGCTGTAAATATAAGCGCTGTAAATACAACAGTTTTTATGTACATAAATCAACTTTACACTTAGTGTCTTTCATACCACCGTGCGAAGCAGTTTCGCAATGCGGTAAAACACAGGTTTGCTACGCATGTTTCACAGAAAACACTTGATTTGTGTTCAAATTTTTTTTGCTCATAGCATAGTTTACAGTTGCTGATATTTTTTTTTTTTTTTTTTTTTTTTTTTTTTTGCTGGTGCCGTTAGCCCTGAGGAGCGTTTCGTGTAGGGGCATCAAGATCACTGTGGGACCTCGAACAACAGGCTTCTGAAAAATATTTATTTTATTTATTTCAAAGTACCTCACAGGCCCCATGAGGGGCATTGGGTAAGGGGGGCTATACATATATACAAATAAACTGGAAAAAAATATACAAGACAGACAATTGAGCAAGGGGGGAATACATATAGACACCTCAAAATGAAAAAAAAGTACAAAAGAAACAATTGAGTAAGGGGCGCAATACTTATATACATCTCAAACAAAAACAAATACAAAAGAAACAATTGGAAAATAATAAGTCAAACAAAAAGCACCAACATGTACAAAAGTTCAACATGTACAAAAGATACACGCATAGTAACCGTGGGCGAAACACTGTATTTCCTGCGCATGCAGCGGCCACAAGGCAGAATCCTCGCGCACATGAATGTGACAATCACAAAAATGAACCAATACGGACCAATGAATTATGATACGGCATCTACTTGCTGAGGCATGTGAAGTGGCTTGATAAGATATGACGGAATGTGTCAAAGTTTGTCTGGGATGCAATGTCGTCGGGCAAACTGTTCCACAGACGGATAGCACGTGGAAGTGCAGACTGATTGAACGCGTTTGTTGAGCCGTATACACGGGAATAGCTAAGATGATTGTGTAGTCTACGTGAAGTGAGATATAGTTTTTGCAGACCAGTAACGGTGATTCGGGAAGAATGGGTAATTTTATGAAAGAATGACAGCAGGGCAATGTCGCGACGAATGTTCAAGAGTGGGAGTGAAAGTTCCTGTTTGATTTGTGATATACTAGAATGCGGACTGTAGTTATTGGCAATGAAGCGGCTTGCTCTATTCTGGATTCTTTCCAATGAGTCAATTAAGTATTTTTGATGGGGAGACCAAATCGAACAGGCATATTCTAGTTGAGGGCGAACCAGTGTCAAGTAAGATAATTTGCGAATGCCTGATGGTGCAGCTTTCAAGTTACGTCTCAAGAAACCTAGTGATTCGAGGCGCTGGCAGAGATTGCCGTAATGTGGTCGGACCAGGATAGATTAGGTGTCAGTATTACGCCCAAGTACCGGTATTGTGTTGCAATCGATAGAATGGAATGATTAATACTGTAAGAGAATTCGGATATGCTAGGTTTACGTGTGAACGACATTACTTTGCATTTTGAGACATTTAGTGTCATCAGCCATGCACTACACCAACCATTAATTACGTCGAGGTCGTTTTGGAGTGACAGGTGATCTTCACTGTTCTTGATTGGACGGTAAATAATGCAGTCGTCAGCGAACACCCTGATGCAAGAAGAGACATGTTGCGGAAGATCATTGATGAATATGAGGAAAAGTAATGGCGCGAGTACACTGCCCTGTGGTACACCTGAAGAAACGTCAGATAGGGAAGAAGACAAATTGTTAACTGTTGTGTATTGCTGACGATTCGATAGGAAATTGCGAAGCCATGATAATGTACGGGAGTCTAATTTCAGGGCGGAAAGTTTCGATATCAGGCGACAGTGTGCAACCCTGTCGCCTTGATAAGATATGACGGAATGTGTCAAAGTTTGTCTGGGATGCAATGTTGTCAGGCAAACTGTTACGGGCCTCGGTGTCCAAGCATATTTGTTTGTGCTGTTGCATAGCTCTCCACTAACTTGAACAAGAAAAAACAAAAAGTCGACACGGCTCACGAAGTGCCGCGAGGCACTACGTAACGTGGCTCCCAGGTTCACTCCCGGCTGCCTCCACAAAAGAAACTGCACTCCTTGCGCTGCACCCCGCAAGTAGTCCAGCCCGAAAGAAGTGGACACCCTGCAGACAAAAGCCCTAACCTTCAGGACACATCGGATCAACTTACACCAACGTGCGCCGGCAATAACGCGGCTCAAGCACAAAGCGAAACCGGTGAACGACCGCCGATGTTCTGGGGCAGTTTAATGAACTCTCGTTGTCCGCGCTGAAATCAAAAGTGTCCACGTCGTCTTTCGAGCCTGCTGTTGTCATTATTTGAATGCCCAGATGCACGAGAATCCCCCGAAATTCACTGTTTTCGCTGAGCGCTCACACGTGACGTCAATGCCATGATTGAATTTATGCACGCCTGCCCGCTCGCGCGCATAGAAAGGCTCTTTAATATCACCATACGGTGAAAAAAGAGAAATACAAATGCGAAACTGCTAAAATGCACTTTCTTTTGCATGTTAGATTGCGCAAGTGGTCCAAAAGCGTTCGAAACAGGGCAAATATTGAAATTGTAAACATCGAAAACATACTATCGATGGGGATAGGCATGGCCACGAAAGCGTTAAAGAACCCTAGATATTCAGAAATAATTCAAGGTCTCCCACTGTGGTGTGCGTAACTTTGTTTTAGTTTTGGCCTGTTAAATTCCGGGATGAATTTTTTAGGTGTTCAAGCTGAGTAATCAGTGTTTTAGTTACGGGCCTCGGTGCATCACCATTCTGTCCTGAGTTTCTTTGCTGGTATTTGAAGTTAACTTTGTTTTGCTGCAGAACGAGCATTCACCCAAGTTTAAAGACAAGACATTGAATATTGCTAATAACATAAAAGAAATGGGTGGCACGAAGTTCTTTGCAGCATCACTAGGATTGCTACTGGGACCACTTGTAGACAGCTGGCCACTTCAGCCAAGTCGTTTAATTTCAGTCGTTCTCAGCGTCATTTTCTTTATTGTGTGTGAGTAATGCCTACTTCTCTTGGGCCAGCTTTTCTTTAATTGGAAGCGCTTCAACTAGACTGCAAGGTGCAAAAATGTGTAACAAGAGTATAGCCACCTTGTACATGTTCTCCGTCTTACGTGTGCGCTGTGTGTGCTTACTTGCAGGTCTGCGCCTGGAGGATCGCAGACGAACTCCTGCAGCAGAATGTGGATCTCGAGTCCTGCTACTTCGCGGCTCAGACCATGCGAACAAAGGTAAGCCAACAGCTCGTCTCCTCTTTTTTTTTAGATGTTGGTCGCTATTAAACAGAATATGCTGGAGTAAACAGGAACTACAATAAAAAAAATCTTAAATGTGGGGTTGGGTGTAGTATAGCTCATTTTATATCAGTTTTTAGCTGTGTACAGGATGACACCGATGGTGGACTTTCTTCAGAACACTCGTGTCGCCTTGGAGGCGTTATCGCAAGGGAGACAGCTTGAGAATGACTTGTTAAAGTGCTAACAATAACCTTCACCCATTTCGGACAAGCGTGTCTTGTCCACCTTAGATGTGTCCTGATGAGCTTTTTAAATCCGAATGCATTTCTTAGTCGGGCCATGTCAGGCATCCGCGTGCCGGCAGGTGTTTTATATCCGCTCTCACTTCCTCTCCCATAGCAACAGCTGTGGTTGCGTGTGCTTATCCTCGCCCTTAGCAACCCGAGCATGTGGTGCGAGAGAGTGTAGGAGAGGGTAAGTGCAGTGATTTGCCTATCCTTCTTTCGCCGTTCGCTCTCTCTCCACCCTGCGCCCCACTCTCTCGTCCGCTCGCTCCTCACTCGTGATTGTTCACTGGCTGGGCACCTCTCAAGGCGATGGCAGAAGTCACTTAAGGCAAATGCCTGACGGCAAAGGTACCCTCTCTCAGCACAAGAAAAGAGTTCGCATTTCCTCACGATTCCCTTCTGGGAGGTGGGAGCATTTTTTTTAGCTCTTCTCCAAGCTAGTTCGTTTCTCACTTCACAGATAACAGAACTTGCTTCCAGCTTTTTGAAAGCGATATTTCACATGTTTTTCTCTATTTGTGTTTAGAAAATGTCTTGTGAAGGTGATGCCTGCATTGCTCGTGCATCATTGCGGAAAATAGATTTTTTTCATCATACAGCATTTCACGTGCTAATGGCTCATATACACAAGGTGGCCTTGATGACTTAACATGTTATTTTCGCCAGTTTCTTGACAGGGGCATTATTCGACGAATTGTGAAAGACATTAATAGACAATTGGGTGATAAATTTTCTTATGCTAAGTTGCCTCAACGTACACTTATGTTTTTTTCGCCAGAGTGTGCTTTTTAGAACCAGAATATCTGATATCAAGAAGAATAAAATTTTTGACAGGAAAATGCTAAAAAAATAATACCATTGAGGGGTTAATTAACAATAAAACCTACAAAACAAAATTAACATGTGTGCAAAACGAATACAGTAGACTCTTAGTAAATGGAAGATTTATGGAATGGCCACCTAAATAGAACCAATACTTCTAATATGATTGGTTTTATACCTTGATATTGCTCACCTGTTCACCTTTCTGTAAATTACTGCTGGTAATTGGCACGTATTTTTCTGGTTCATGCAGCTTCCATTAACAAGAGTCCGTTGTGATAAGTTAACATTACCAAGGGTAACGGAAAGCTTCAACAGAGTTGATACATTAATAAATTCTGACAAACTCACTACGGAATAGAAGTTGTGACTACCAGACGCGGAAGCGCATTCACACGTTCTAGTATCGCACAGTTTGTGGAAAATATGCATATAAAAAAAAAAAGGTGTAAATCAAACACTTTTTCTACCACTACAGAGCAAAGAGTGATACACACAGAATTGAAGAAAAAAAAAGGCTGTAAACTTGGTTTTCGAAGCGCATAAGAAAAAAAACAAAACAAGGAAGTGACATATGATGCACTGGAAAAACAGCGGAAATTGCCAAGCCAAGCGTAACTAAGTTGCTCATTATTCAAACAAAAACACTTTTCTAATAATGTCTAAATCACAGGCCCTTATGTCATTACCTGCACAAGTGATCTTAGTTTGCAACATTGAAATAAAGTTTTTGCACAACACTCCCTCACTGTTTCCACCAATAAACCCAATCGATTTGTAGCTCTAGTGTGCAGTGTAGGAAAATTTTACATGTTCCAGCAGTTGGGAGAATAAAGGCTTTTACTTGATATTGTCCTTTCTTCTGAGGGTATGTATTCCGACAGTCTTATTAGGTATTATTCTTTCGTGTTTGTCGTGCACCTTAACAGATCCAGTACGTGTTCCACGAACTGCCTCCCGAATCCCACGCGTCTCTGCGAGACTCGCTCATGGAGCACTTGGCAAAGGTCAGCAAAGACACGGCACCCGTTATTGTTACACAGGTAAGCCTGGTGTGTTTTTCATCTTGTTGACATCTGTAATATCGCTTGCGAGAAGCGTGGAATTGTGCCAAGGGTCGAAACAAATTAATTGTGCAATTATTGCGTGTTTGAAGGGCCCATTCATGACAACGTGCTCAGATATACTTAGTCATCATAATTAGCAAAAGCATAGACATTGTGAGCAGCTGTCTAGGTTTGCCTTACATTTGTGTAGTTCTCCCTTTGATGATTTGCAAAAGGAAGAATTGTGACATGGGAATCGTACAGCACCTACAGGTGGCGCAACAGTATCTTGCCCCATTGCGCCGCTAGTGCCACGAGTGGCAACTTGCGGCCACTTCAGTTCCGATTGGCGTGCTACGAATCATCGTTTGCATCAACGCTCGCGTTGTATGCAAATGCATGTGTGAAAAGGCGACAGGTTTGATAAAAAATGTAGGTTTTTAGAAAGTGAACCATGCATGATTCTTTTGGTGCCTCAAATAAAGACAAAGGATATGAGTTTACAGAATGAATTATGTTTTCTGTGCGACGTAGCACAGACGTGTGACAGAAAGTTTCGAAATGGAGATTTGCACGGCCGGCCAGGGTAAAGATCGAAGCATAGGCAGTCACCCTGGATGTTTGTTAACATTAGTTCTTGTCATTCGACCTACTTATTGTTCAGTAAACGATGCCATTTGTGTTTGACGAACTTGCTACAGCGGTCTGGTGGCTAAGGCACTCGGACGCTGACCTGCAGGTTGTGGGATAGAATCCCAGCTGCGGCGGCCGCATTTTAGATGGAGGCGGAAATGCTTCAGGCCCATGTGCCTAGATTCAGGTGCACACTAAAGAACCCCAAGTAGTCGAAATTTTCCGGAGCCCTCCACGATGGCGTCTCTCATAACCATATGGTGTTTTTGTGATGTTAAACCCCACTTATCAATAAATCAATCAAGGCTAGAAATTGAGAAGACACGCACGGGACCCAGTTACGCTTAGAAGCATGGCGATTTGGGCTAGTTGGTATGACATGACGATTGTTATAGTGCAACGATAGAACGGCGACAAAGGGGTCCAAAGGGTTGTGTTTTCGCGCTATAACAATCTCCAGTTACACTGTTGCTTTCTGCTCGTGAAGGCAAAGCTGAATCATCCTTTGAGGTAATTGTTTTATTATTATGTGAAGGACCCAAGGGCATGGTGCTTTCACAATTACGCAAGGCAGGAAATTGAAATTCACGTAACAATTGTAATGTAGAAGCAAAAATGTTAAACGAGTACTTATGGTTCAATAACTGGTAACGTGCAGTTGATTAAATAATATGCCATCTGGCTTCACATGGACAAAATGAGAATAACACACTGGCTCTAATGAATTATTGAAGGATTGAACTGGATGAGCAACATAAGCGAGATTTATTATAAAATGGGAAATGCTGTTTTGTTCCGGGTTTCATTCTTATGCCATGACTTACCCCTAGCTGGTCGGCTTCTTATGTAGCATTGGCGGTGATTATAGTGTGGATGTAAAATAATTTTTGAAGTAATGATAAACAGTCGATGGTGCCTGTTTTCTTCTTGCTGCAAAGCAGAATAGTCTGTATGTAACGATGGTTGTATGACGTAATCATAGTTTATGAGCGGTGCGTTTCCAAATCTTGTATTCGTACCTGTGCTACTCCGTATAAAACGTTACAAGGAAAGTTGTTGAAAAGTCAAGGTGCCCTACGAGTAATTTTGTATCGCGTGTTAGCTGGTAGCGTAAAAATGAGGGAGCGAAAAAAAACAACAGAAAGTTAGGACATGGGTAATATAAGTTGACTTGGTTTATATTTGTCAAATGACCAGTTATCAGTTCAGGAGTTGGCATCAGGGGAGATTATCGGTGCAAAATAAGGCCTCTTGTTTCATTATTTGAGAGGCTGGGGTGTCTCGGTGACGGTCATGCTACGAGGAGGAACTTGAGGTAGCGGGTTTGATTCCCGACTGCTGCAGCCATTTCTGCCAAGATTGGAACAGAAAAAGAACGTTCATGAAGAACCCAGGGTTGTTGAATCAAACGAGTCTCCACGACCTACTTGAGCATTGCCTCGTGATAACTTATGTAGCTTCAGAGTCAAAGCCAATTATAGTCGGTTTGGGTCATTCGACTCCGTAATTTAGCACTCAGTCATCCCATAACTCAGAGAAGTGCTAGCTGACTGAATAAGAATATGCAGCACATTTCTACACAGTGCGCAGTAGCTGGCCCTCATTTACATTTGATTGTGCTCGTATGGTTCTGTAGTGCATGCATTTCTAAGCCTAAACATTCATTTTTTTTTCTGGTGTTCTAGTTGTCTCTTGCCATGGCCGATCTTGCCCTGCAGATGGCATCCTGGAAGTCCTTTGTTGTTGACCTAATATCAAGGTAAGGGCATGCCGTCAGATGATTAACTGTTACCGATTTATTCAGGTTCCATCAAATCAGTTCTAGCTTCCCCTGTTTAGTTGAGAAGGGATGGCACGGATAAAGCCTTTGTTGTCTCCAAGCATCAGAAATCGGTGCTCTAAAATCCCGAGTTTAAGTTTACGCACATGTGCTCCAAGGTTTCATGATGTCAAGATCCTGGGTAGGAGTAAAGACTCAAAGGCATGAGAACATTTATAAGCGCTTTTTATCAGCAATCATGGTAGGCGACCACATCAGTTGGGCGTCTGTTGTCTCGTTTGCCACGGAACGCACATTTTTTAAGTCGTACTGTTGATTTGTAAGCTTCGCTTAGCTGCCCCTGTGGCCTACTGGCTGTGACCTTTGCGCCTGCATAGTTGTAACGTATTTTCTGTGGGTCGTCAACTTTCCATTGAAGTTGCTAGCTGCGCGTCTGGTGTGTAGTTCTGTGTGCCCGTCGCGTCTTTTCTTGTGCTACATAACGATTTTCTGCAAGCACCATCTAGGCTAAGAAAGAGTCCTTCTGCTTGTCAAAATGTAGACTGTGGCAGACATTTGTCATTCAACCATTGTTGATTGCGTTTTGTTTCTCTTTCTCTGCGGCATAGGTTTGGCTGCAGTATCACTCACATTCCCGTTCTTCTCGAAGTGCTGACCGTGCTGCCCGAAGAGGTCAGTTTTTTCACATTTTCTTCATCATTCGCTGTTGGTCTAGAGGAATTTAAAAGATTCAAAAAGCAGGATTTAAATTTAAAGGCTGCCTGTCTTTCTCGAGAAGTGTTTGCTGGTTATGGGGCAGAAGTGATTAAGAGATCGTTTTGTGAGATAGTTGTGTCCATTTCCTTCCTTCTGTGCGCTCGCAGCTCAACAGTCGGCCACTCCGGCTTGGTGCGAACCGGCGCAATGAGATCATTGAACTCTTCAATCAAGTTTCGGGGCAGGTGGTGCAACTGCTGGTAAGTGCGGACGGCCCTTGTTTACACTTCATCTGCTTGCCTAGCTCGAGCCACGCAGCAGAGCCTTAGTTAACTCATTGTTTAATTGCTTATGCAATTGGAACCCCTTTGTAGGAGTGATGCATTAGGGAAGCATTTTTGTCCGTTATATCAGTTGTCTCTTATGAGCAAAGTGTTATGTATGCGTTTTCTTATCAACCTCTGTTTCAATGTTGTTGCTCTGGTGTCTCGTACGTCAATGTCTTTTATGAATAGGTTCAACTGTACTGCTACCACAGTCATGGGCTAGAATAAAAGGTTAATTGTTTGTGGAATCAAGCAGTGCTTCGGCTAATGAAGTAGGAATAGTAATACAGTAGATTCTCATTAAACGCAACCTCAGGGGACCATGAAAATGTATTCCATTTAAACGGGACTTCTGTTTACTCAGAGAGTAGTAAGGCTGCGAAATGGAAGTATGAAATTACTCTCACTACACGTCAAAATGATGTCAAGTGAAGCCTGCATACTGTGTACATAGCAGCCTCATTTTCATCGACCAAAACAATAAATCAAGGGGTTCATTACTCAGTCTGTTACTACTTTTACTTTATATTAATGACCTTCCTCACATATTACCCATGGCTCACTGAGTCTCATATTCTGACGATACTACCGTTTCTTTTGCTGCTGGATATGTTAATGCTCTCATTAATAAATTAAATTATGCACTTTATAGCGTGTCCAAGTGGTGTCTGGAAAGCCATTTAATTGTCAGTCAGAGTAAGTTTAAGTTTATGGTTTTCAGATAACCTCAGCATAAGATAACCCTTTCACCGGTGATCACAATTGACCCTCATTTCACTAGTATCAATAAAAGGGTATAATTTCTTGACGTTCACCTCAATGCTGACCTTAAGTTCGATCTCCATATTGCTCATGTTAGGAAATGACAGCATTCGCGCATTACTTCTCCTATTTTCTATAACCCTCGTGTTTTCCTCATAATGCACTCCTGTTTATGTATTTCGCTTTCATTTATGCTAATATCACTTATGGCATCGCTTCATCACGTAAAACTTATCGGTGCCACCTTTCATCCATACAGCATTTACCAATTCGAGCCCTTTGCGTTATTTTCAGCATTCCTCGTGACAGTAATACCTCTCACCTTCCTCCTGGCTATAACATTCTAAATGTTGACAATTTATTTAGCTTCAATCTAATTATGTTTCTGCATAAACAATTAACAACTAAACTTTCTACCACTTTAGTTGATTCGGAATTTTAACTAAAACTAACTCCACCAGGTTTCTGGCTAACAATAATTTTCTATTACCTAAACTTCATACTAAGGGGGTAAATCATCGTCACACTTCTATGTCATCTCAGTATAGAAAGCTTAACCCTCATTACTCAAGTGTAAAATTTCTTCAAGTTTCTTCCAAAACTTATTGTAAAAAATACTTGAATTTACGATGTTTCCTTTTTTCTTTAGCTGTACCAGAATTGTTTGGTTGTGTATTGTACTTATCATATTTTGTGCATTTTGGTTTCATGCCTTCTTGTTTTATTTCTCATGTGTACTGCTAGTTATGTTTTTACTGTTTAAGCTGCTGCTGATCCTTGCTTTATTTATTTGTAACAGTCACTAAGGGTCCAGTTGCAGTTTAATACTTTTAATACTTAATACGTCTGTATATTTTACATTCTTTAACAATCCTTTCTTACTAATAATAAACTGATTGAAACTGATTGAGCAGAAGTTTCGTTTAAAAGGTTTCTGTTTACTGAGAGTGTAGTGTATGGGGGTTTTTACGTCCCAAAACACCATATGATTACAAGAGACGCCGTAGTGGAAGGCTTTGGAAATTTTGACCATCTGGGGTGTTTATTTATTTATTTATTTAGTATACCTCAAAGGCCCCAGTCGGTGTATTACATGAGGGATGGGCATAATTAGCAACATATTAACGATTCAATCACGGTCTTGAATACATGTGGGTCGGAGTGGTGCATGGCGAAGGCAGGCAAGTTGTTCCAGTCCCGGGCGGTTGCAACAAAAAAAGGAGCGAAGGTGGGCAGTAGTTTGTGCTGGCGGTGGATAAACGGCTCGGGGATGGTTTGTACGGCTGGATAATCGATGAGCAGGCAAGATGGCTGGAACGTTGAAAGGAGCGTGATAAAATTTGTGAAAAAGACAGAGCCGAGATATATGACGACGTGATTCTAGGTTGTTGAGGTGGCCACGAGTTTTAAGTTCAGAAACGCTGGAATGATAAGAGTACACGGAGTAGATGAACCGGGCTGCGCGATTTTGTACAGATTCGAGAAGGTTAGATAGATTAGATTGATGAGGGTCCCAAACCGAGCATGCGTACTGCAACTTAGGGCGAACAAATGTGGTGTAAGCTAACAACTTCACTGATGAGGGAGCAAGTTTTAAATTCCTACGAAGTAAACCCAGCGTACGATTAGCGGAGGATGCTACGTTGTTAACGTGAGTGGACCAGGTGAGGTTGCTTGAGAATGTTATGCCGAGGTATTTATAGGATTCTGCTGTTAAGATTGTAGAGCCCGAAATGGTATAAGTCGCTTGCTGATAATGTTGCCTACGGTGAAATGATGTTAGCGATGTCTTATTTACGTTTAAAGACATTAGCCAGTCGTTACAACAGGATTCAATAAGGTTAAGGTCGTTTTGAAGTATAGCAATATCGGTAGGGTTTTTTATTGGACGGTACACGACGCAATCATCTGCAAACAGGCGAATATTTGATGAAATGTTAGCTGGGAGGTCATTTATATAAATTAAGAAAAGTAGGGGTCAGTACTATGCCCTGTGGGACGCCAGAGATTACGGGAAGATGGTTAGATGAATGGTTGTTAGCGTACACAAATTGTTGCCGATTAGTCAGAAAACTACGAATCCAGTTGAACGTCGGTGTATTAATGTTTAAGCAAGAAAGCTTGAGGGGTAGCCGTTGATGCGGAACTTTGTCAAATGCTTTTTCAAATTCTGAAGAGAGGGCATCGGTGGGTATATTTAGGTCAACGCTAGAACTGATGTCATTGTAGAATGAAGCAAGTTGTGTGTCACAAGATAATCCTGAGCGAAACCCATGTTGACTATGATGAAAGAAGTTGTGGCGGTTTAAGAACTTGACGGTGTTAGAGTAGATCAGATGTTCCATTAGTTCAGAGCAAATGCTAGTGAGCGAGATGGGACGATAGCTGCTAGGCTGGGATGGAGGGCCCTTTTTAGGGACTGGAACAATCTTACCCACTTTCCAGTCTTCCAGCACCACTCTTGCTGAAAAATATGGCATAATATCACACTGACAATGGGTTGTGTGTTTTTTAACATTTTAGCGTTGATGCCATCGGCGCCACAAGAAGATGTAAGATTTAATGAGTTGATTAATTTAGCAATGTCCTGTTGAGAAAACGTGATGTCCGGCATCATGTCGTAATCACGAGGATGGAATGAAGGTAAGTTGCCGTTAGGTTCGATAGTGAACATGGAAGAGAAAAAATGATTAACTTGTTCGGCGGCTTCATCGTCGGGGATCGGGAGGTTATGTTTATCAAACAGTGCCAGTGGTTGGGAATTTTGAGGGTTGATAACGCTCCAAAATTTCTTCGGGTTATTGGTCAGCATGGCCGGCAAAGTCTGTGAGTAAAAAGAACGTTTTTCTTTCATAGCATGCGTGCTGAATGCTTTTTCCACAGCGTAGTAGTTGTTCCATGCAGAAATGTTATTAGATCGTTTTGCTGATCTAAAAAGTCTTTTCTTTTTATTATTGAGTCGTTTTAGTGTAGCTGTGAACCATGGGGACGTTTTTTTTTCGGTGACGGTAATGGTGGGCATGTATTTTATGAACAGGTCATGGATTTTATTTTTGAAGAGCAACCAATTAGTCTCGACAGAGCGCTGCGAAAAATCGGCTAGCAGGCAAGTAGCGAATTCTGCAAATTCATTGTTTAGGGCGGAATAGTTTCCTTTGTTATACAATGTTATCGTTTTTGTTATTTTAGACGAGCGTGTTAGTTGGCAGAGGTAGGTACTATGAATCACTGAATGGTCACTTAAGCCCGGCAAGAACGTCATCTTGGAAACCTTGTCAGGCTCGGAAGTGAGGATAAGATCTAGAGTGTTGGAGGAGGTAGAATTTTGACGTGTGGGTTCAGTGATGAGTTGCGTTAGTCCAAATGTTAGGCATGAGTTGACGAAATCACTTTCAGGACCGTGTTTGGCGGCTGTGCTTGCCAGATTATTCCACGAAATTGCTGGAAAATTAAAATCACCAAAGAGAAGTATCGGATAATGACGGAAAGTTTTAGTTACAGAGTGAATAGCCACGTGGAAATTCGGTACAAAAAGGGGTCAAGACCGGGAGGGTGGTAACAAACTCCAATTATCGTGGGGGGATAAGAAGCATTGCAGAGAATGAACGTGATTTCTAAGCATGAGGACACACGAATTTCTGTACATTGAAGGCTTTTATGACTGCCTATCAGCACTCCACCTCCAAGTTTGTTAGTGCGGTCACGTCGAAAAATGTTGAAGTCCGGGAAATACTGTAGCAGCTCTGAGTCTGCTATTGAAGGGTTAAGCCAAGTATCGGTTATTACGAACAAATCTGACTCTGAAGAGCTAATTAGATTTTGTAAGCCATCAACTTTCGGAATAATGTGTCCTTTAACGTGCGCTGACTGATATTACACAGTACACTTGCTTCAACAATTTTCCTTCATGAGAATGCAAACAGCGTGGCCGGGATTCAATCGGTGACCTTCGGCGCAGCAGCCGAGCACCCTAGCCTGGCTAAGGAGAACAGAAATATTTTGTGCAAGCTAATGGCTTTCTAAAGGCGCACAGCTGCTGATGACAATGGGCTGTGATGTCCAGTTTTGGAAAAGCGTCTTCATTGACGCAAATATTCCACTGGATATTCTTCGTGTTGATGTCACCAGCAGTATGTTGGAGTAATAGTTAGGGCATCAAGAAGATGGGAACTGCTGTCAAGGACAGTAGCAGGCAACGTGGCATGATGTGGTGATGGCATGGAATCAGCTGTCGTAAAACAGAATCATCTGGTGAAAAGTTGAGGGGGGTGGTTGGCTACGGCCAGTTGCTGTGTTGCAGTGCTCGTAAAGTGAGTTGATCATGATAGTGGAGCCTTCGATGCTTCTTGCTGAGTACAGAATGGCAGGTTGGCATAAATCGTCATAACTTGTCTTTCCTATCGTGCTCTGCCGTAGTATGAAGCGCAGCTGATCACAATGGTGCAAAGGCACACACTAAAAGCCTTTGCACCCTACCAATGCACCCTATTAGAATCCGCAGCCTTGTTATTGCACCCCACAGACTTTTCGCCCTCTCAGAAGTGCAGATGCCACTTGGCAATTCTAATTGGACTTCTGTGGCGTAGAGTTTCCTAAGTTGAACAAGATGGGACTCTGTCGCTGCGATCAGTACAGCGACCATGGGAATGGTGGGTAGTACGTGGATTTGCCTAGTCTTCGTGCTTGCGGGCTTCAAAAGCGCTTGTGGCTTTGTTTATTGCTGCGTTTTGGTTTTGTTTCGAATGGAAGGATGAACTGTTGTGAACTTCGTGAGCCGATTTGAAATGGTGAGCCTAAAAGGTTAAGGTAGCGAAGTGCAGCAGGTGTTCACATTTGCGGATTTTCGTTTCGTGACAAAGCAGCTCCAAGCCACACGAACCCAAACGGAGCTGAAAGTACAAATATAGACAAATCCGTGTACTACCCTTAATTCCCACGCTTGCTGGAGCACCGTGCATTGCAGCTCCCGTAGACACTAGTGCCAGAGTTCCCTCTAGCGTATTTATAGTAGACTCCATGTTCTGCGGGGCTGTATTTTACGAGTTTGTCTAAATCTCGTATCCTGTGCATGAACCTGTGTTTGATTGGTTTGTTCCCCCTCAGGACGCGTGCCTGCAGCCCGCGCAGAGTCCCGACGAGCGAGTACGTGCTCGAGTGTTCCGCTGTCTGGGAAGCTGGTTCTCCGTGGGCGGCCTCCGGCTAGACCACCCGACGTTGCATAAGCTTCTTGCCAGCGTGTTTGATGCCCTGGTGAGGATGCAGGGACTACTTTATTTCGTTTTCATTTCCTTCGAGAGGTGACGTCTTCTCGCATTCTTTTTTTTACAAAGAGCCGTAAGAGAATGGGACGCTCTATCGCCTGACATTGTGAACATATCGGACAATGATGCGTTTTACCGCTTTTTATTAGTATGACTTACCTTTTTTTTTTTTTTTCAACTGTATACCCCTTGCTGTAATGCTCACAGGTGTGATGCAGTTATGAATTGGATTTACTCGAATCTAGGCCGACCCCCCAAAAGTCCGGAGCCTGGAAAAAAATATTACCTCAAATGTTGTAAGCCGAACGAAACAGCGTAGGCAGCATCCAAAAAAAAAAATGCATCCTAAAGATGAAAAAATCCTGAAGATGAAACAAAGCAGCTGGTTGAAACAAAGCAGAGGACGTCGACGAAGTGTGGACGAGTGAGCGTAGGACTTCTTCGCAAGATGAGTAGCTAGAGTTGACGGGCACAGTTTCGCCCTAAATAAACAGTTGTTTTCCCTGAAGGTGCTGTATTTGTTGGCTACAATATATATATATATATATATATATATAAGTGCACCACTTTTCTCAATGAAAAATGGCACATTTTTGAAATCCTCAAATCTAAGCTTACTTTGGAGTTTAGACCTAACTTTGCAGCAATCGAAGTTATTCTTTTTCACACACGCACATACACACACTGTAACCTCATTATAACAAAGTTGCATCTTACACGAAATAAGCTTGTTATATTTGAAAATTCGTTATAAATGTTTATTCCTAAGACTGTATTATTGCAAGACTATTTTTTGTTTACTTCATTACAAGTATGTGGTTATATTCAGGTTCGTGATATTGAGGTCTGAGTGTATATATATTTTAGTGTAATGAATGTAATGAAATTTATTGCAGGGAGAGTGTAGTATAGTGTTATTTGTTCATACCCACCTATCTATTTATTAATTTGTTTCTTAAATTTTATTTTAATACATGCTGGAACAGGGGTTGTTGTATTGGGCACTAGTATTATAGGAGTTAGCGAAATCAATATAGTAAGAGATTTTACAGTATAAAATCAGCTGCAGAACTGAAATGTTGCATACAGTGTACTCATTACAGCACAACCATGCAAGAACAGTGTGTGCAGTTTGGACATATCTCTTTGCTCAACATTGGGAATTGTGATCACATACAAACTTCTCAGACAAAGCCCCCCTGTGTTAAACCTTAGCGTGTATTTTATGTTGCAGAAGAGCCCGAGCACGACTTCGTCCGTGCACGAGACGGCGTCTGACTGCATCTGCAATGCGCTCATGCTGCTCGGGGGTAAGCACGCCACCTGTTAAAGCACGAGGCTGTTGGTCGTTTGCAAGTCAGTGTGCAGAGCTCAATCGTCGCTTTTCCTGTTGTTTTTGTAATCTTGTTCACCTCTACAGCAACACTCGTCTCAGACCCAAGTGCTGGCCCAAGTCTTGGTGCAAGGCGTGTACTCCCTCGTCGAGCCTTATCACTTGTCGGTCGCTCACGAAGACCTCGACAGGTATGTGGCTGTGAATTTTTGAACATTCGAGCTGTAAATCGCGCACCTCTTCAATTTTCTTGCGCCGTTGTCCATATGCAAAGGCCCCATGCCCCGCTTGGGAACAGTGGCAGAACTGACATCCATGCTTAACTAAGAACTTGTTGCTGTATTAGTAGGTGAGTGTAACATCTTGATTTTCATGCTAAGAAAAAGATCTTGTGTCTGTCCAGTCCTTTCTCATGTGTTTGTCCTTTTTGGCGCAAAAATCAAGATGCTAATACATTACCCAGAGTCATTGTCACTTTATTTATAGGTGCATTGGAAGCTTGAAAGTCGTATAACACCGGGTGCCCTTTTGGGAGTGGTGAAAGAAATGATGCGTTGACGGTATGAAAACCAGTCCGTGCATCTTTTGCCATGCCAGTAGATTTGAAGAGCTGCAACGGTACAGCTGCCCAGACTAGGTACGGACAGGGTGGTGGCTGTACATTGTAAGAATACCTGAGGAGCTGTAGGTTATGAACAATGCAACGATCCCGGTCACACACCAAGTGTTTCCCAAAGTGCTTCATGTTGGACTTACTGCGCAACTCCGATAAAATTGATGTAAATCACGCCATGCTGCACCAAAATCTGTTTGGACAATGCCTAGTCCCCCACTTATAGCACATGTCCAGGTTTACCTCTGTACCACCAGTCACCCAGTTATATTTCGCTGGCGAAGCAGTGCCCACGCACGCATTGCGATTCATCAGTGCTCTCCGCAGAGAGTAGCGACGTCCTAGCCAAACGGTGGCGATTCATTGACGGGTAGCTTGTTTTTTTTGTCACGTGGCATATAAATATTGCAAAATTTAATAATAAATTGAAAGCATTAAATACAATTGAACGAGAAGAGGTAGGCTTTTGCATTCGGGTAATGAATGAGAAAGGACATTGAATTTATAGCATTGAGGCGCGTCAGCTTCAGCAAGGGTTGAGCAAAGGGGCGCTTGCTACTCTCTTGTCCCATGAGCCACATAAAAAAAAATCTCATTTGACGATGCATCAAAGGCATTCAGGTGGCCGAATGTAAATGTAACTTGCTTCCCAAACGTGCTCTCGTAAAGTAAAATCAGGTGCTCAGATCAGAGGTACTCCTAAACCCCAAATTGCCTGCCCGGAAGTGCTTCAGAATGGAATTTTTTGCCGCTCCAGAGTTCTCTGAGAGGAAAACTCCGCTTGCTCTGTAAATCATTTCGAATCGGAAGTGCCCGATAGCATCACTGTGAAAAGGTGACGAGAGCGAAGACGGGATCGTGCTGCCACCTCCACGGTTCAGCAATCTTGATGGAGTGGAATTATTTAGGTGTTTAGGTTTGTTTACTTGCCTGCTTGTTTGTTTAGTTGTGGGGCGGTGTTAATCCCTCTTCGTGCTGTTAGTTATGCGCATTTCAGGTAAAAGACTGAAAGCAACCACTTGTATTCATCTGCCTTTGAGGAGGAAATGTCACTGCTGCCTCAAGTTGTGTCTGACAGTAATTCATCCGGCTTGAGACATTTTATGGGGTGCACAGCACAGCTACAGGCATTCTCGCTCTTGCTATGCCTTGTGAGGCTGCGGTTGGTGCAAACAAATAAAATAAATCGATACTGCTTCCTTGCAGTTTTAGACTACCCGAACTAGAGTGAAGCAATGCCGTAAGCACAGTTTCAAACTCCTGTTCCATATTTTTTTTTACTTCATTCTTTTGCAGAGTGCACGTAATGACATCCGTCTCTTAGTCGCCTGCATTTCTTCTTTGGTTCTCTCTGCTCCCGTATAGATCGGTGAACTACTGCCGCATCTTCACCGAGCTGGCCGAGTCTCTGCTCGATGACATGATCCAACATCCGGGACAGGTGAGCCTGACTTCAACTGTTGAGGCATGCCCTATGAAGAAGCGACAAGTCGGTCAGTTTACTGACACATCCGCAAATGACTGGCACGCAGTTCTGAATGCCAACTCTGCAATGTGCAGCGGAGGCCAAAAGAATAAGGACGGGCCAGCAAAGCTAAGGGGAGAGTGTACACTATGTATTCAGTGTTTGAGCGAGAGGTAATGTAGGCTGCAGTGCATGTTAATTAAGGCGATAGCAATGAAGAGCTCGTTTCAGAGAAATTCCTGCGTTGGCATCAGCATCTTCATTTGTGAGTGGAAAATCAGCGTCGCCTGCGAGTGGAAATTCGAGGTAGATGCAAATGATGACTTGAAAAAAAAGGTATGAATCTGCGACACCTTGCTCTATGGAGTGATGCATTTTGGTGCTCGGCCAGCACGCGTACATCCTCCTGCATACTAATAGTGAGGTATTTATACACACGATTTGGCTTTGGGGTTACGCATGTTTTCAGAGGCTCTTCTGTGGGTTGGCACAACGAGAGGGTGCTAAGAGGCCACTGCTGCGATTTGAAGCGGCCTTGCCCCCCCCCCGTGGCTGTGCTTCGTCGTGCTGCATGTACGGATGTTGGACCCGGATGGCGTCTGCACCTTGTCTTTTTTTGCAGAACATTTTAGGTGTCAACCAAAAGGGAACGTGGCATGAACGCCGTCCGATATCGCTACTACGTTCTTTTCTTGAAAGCGAAGCTCGAGCGTCGTGTATGCCAGGCATTGTAGGCATACTTTCTTGGTAATGTAGCATTGTAACAGTAGCTCTCAGAGATGACTACAGTTTCATTTTGCTGGAGAAATCTGAAACTGACGGCTATAATGCCGAGGAGCAAAAGGCCTCCTAGTTGCACCGGTTTTTGTTTTGTTAGATGACTATTCTTCTTGCTAAAGAAATGTCTCCTTGGATTGTAAATATTCCTATTGGTTGGCGAACGAGACATGCACCGTTAGTGACATTTTGCTACGACGGTCCTGTTACAATGTGATACTTGACCTTCCCAGGGCCTGGGGGATCCACGTTGCTTGGACTTGTTGTTGACCTGCGTTGGACACTACGACTATGAAGTGAGTGGCTGGTCAGAAGAGCACCAAGTTGCGGTACTTGTACCAGACCGGTACAGCATTGTGGTGGTGGTAGTAGCTGTAGTAGTAGTGGTACTAGACCAGTACAGAGTAATAGTGTGGTAGTAGTTGTAGTAACAGTGGTGGGAGTTGTGGTAACAGTAAATGGGGGGTAGTGAAGTTTTATTTCACAGAATTTTCAGAAAATGTAAAGATTTACAATAAAAGCTGTCACAGTCTACAGTTTCACTAGGCTGTAGGCCTGTTACCTTGGACGAGTGTTGTGGTAATAGGACTTGCAATCTTCTCGAATTCAAACAAATGAGTAAGGTAAAGTCTGGAATTGTTTGAAGCAAGTACTGAAAAACAATGCAAAGCCAAGTTAGTTTGCTTTGGTGTAACAATAAATTTTAGTATTTTCGCTGGAAGCAGAAGCTTTGAAGCTTTAACAGCTGTTGAGACTCGAGCAGTGTGTGCTTTGATGGGTTGCCCGATTTTATTTGCGGAAGATGTGCATGGCACTACCATGGTTTATGCTTTTCTCCATGTATGGCAGCGATCTTTGAGAATAAAGTAGCCTCTCGCGTTGGCGGCGGCACTGCTTTGGTAACACCTTCTAGATTGTATGTTACATGTTCGGGTCATCAGTACATATATTGTGTAACGACGTGTTTTGGCAAGAAACACCCCTACATAGACTGTCGTCGGTCATGGCGCAGAGACGTTCCCGTGCCACCTAACTTGTAGTGTCACATTTCGCGGCAACGCGGATCTCGTTATGTTGGCAGGACTTTGACTTGAACGCTTACTTATATCAGGGCCAACATTACCTTTCATGGCTAGAGTTGTAGCTACGTAATGCGGCCATCTAGGGAAATTGTGTGTATCAGCTGTTACTCTAAAAGTTTGGGTGTCGCATTTAAATTTGTGAACACTGTACACCAGCAGATTTTGGGCTTGTGGTTCTAAGGTTTTAGGATGGTTGTGATCTTGTTTGACAGAGGGGAGGGGCTATTTGTCATGCTTGGTTAGAAAATATATTCTATGGACTGTTAATTATTTAGATAAGAATGCTGCCAATCTTGTCAGAGATTGTGTGTAGCAGGGAAGGCACAGAAAATTTCTATTTGTTATAAAAAGTTACCGTAATTACTCGAATCTAACGCACACCTTTTTTTCCGGTTAAGCGAGTTCATAAATCACATGCGCGTTAGAATCGAGTGCGAAAAAAAATGAATACGGTCATTCTATTGCCATCAGCATTTCCAAAATGGCTGCCCCCTACGTGCGTCGGCATGGCGCGTCAGCCATTTTTGCCTATGTGTTTCCCATGTGCGGCACTTCGTATGTGTGCTGAGGAGTTCGTCATTTTGTAGTGCATTAGCATCGACGGCATGGAAGGGCCGACTCCAAAAACGCGAGTGCACCACGATGCCGCTTTTAAAAGAAAAGTCATTGCGTGTGCAGAAACGGACGGAAATTGGGCCACATGGCGGTCGTTCGGAGTTCCAGAAACGTGTGTGCGGGACTGGCGAAAACAAAAGCAGAAGATTGTCGACAGCAAAGCTTCACGCAAAGGCTTCAGTGAACCACAGCAGGGTCGGTTTCCGCAAATTAAAGAGCTGCTCGGCGAGTATGGGCTTGAGCAGCGAGCGGCACAGCGGCCCGTGACGACAGAACTGCTCCAAGTGCGGGCTATGCATTTAGCCTCAGAAAAAGGTCTAATGCGGAGCCAGTTTAAAGCGAGCAGGTGCTGACTAACTAACTTAATGAAGACGAAAGGCTTTCCCTCCAAAGGGGAACAGGCATATGCGAAAAGTTTTGCGGAGGAGTACGATGAAAAGCTTCACAGTTTCCAGAGGTTTGTCCTAAACTTGCGGCACAACAACGGCTACCTGCATGATGAATGATGATGAAAAAGATGAATTGTCTCAAGGGTGCCGACCGCTCACATTTCGTCAAAACGTAGGTGGCGGAAATCACCTTCAACCTGTGGTACCGGCTCTCGGAGGCCCTCTACAAGGAGAGCAACGACAACCTCAACACCTTTTTCGGCCGGTACATCCAGATGCTCCTGGTTGCCCTCTGCCGACACTGCCAGCTGGATCCGGACAAGGTGGGCGTAGTCACCAGCATTTTACCCTCGCCTCTAAAGCGTACAGTGTGTGAATCCGCTTGTGTGAATTGTAAATTTTAGGTTCGAAGTGATCTTGAGGCGAACAGTGATTTTGTTGGAATGATTTTGAATCATTCGAATAGTATATAGTATCACATACTAAATAAAAATGTGAGCATATTTGTCATGGCTGAACTAACCTGCATATTATTTTTTTTTTAATTGAAACAAGACATTACACGAATGTCATTGTTTTTGGTTCAGAGAAAGTAGAAAAGCTTTGAATACTAGTAGCAGGATTTAGCTCTCGGTTGAATGCAAATGATAACATATGAAATTTGTTACATTTTGAAATTTACTATACGTAGTACGAGCCAGTATAACAAGCCTTTAAGCTTATAAAGGAATCGATGCGAGGGTAATTCGGGGCTTGGTCATTAACCTTAAAGGGTGGCTTTGCGTCAGGGTGGATTTGCTTTATAAAGGTGTATTCATGGGATAACATTTCTCCACTGCAGTGGAACTACGGTTACAGGGAGGTTACGTACGGTCTAATATACCCGTATTCGTAATATACACAATTTAGAATATGCAATTTCTAATAATTTATATACAAAATACATTATTTGTTCCAATATTTCAAGTGTTTCAATACTTTCACAGGCCTTGTGTAGAATCATTGCATACTGCCAGTACGATGTGAACTTGCGACAAATTCGGCTGGTCGTTTCGAGAGTACTCTGACCACATTAGGAAGGAGTGAATTCAACGGTTTTAAAGCTCTGTAACGAGAGCAAGCAGGTTTATGAGTCACGTTCCGCCTTCCTTATGATGCATTGGCTCTCTTAATTTGGTAGTAACGCTTAGTTGCTAGTTGCTCTTTTACATCAGTTTAGCAGAGCCTATGCAACACTCCGAAACGAGTTTTCCGAGTGTACCACTCTAAATTCGTGAGCATCCCCTTCAAATTACTGAATACCCATAGGTTTCCTTCTGAACTGAAATACCTTTTGTTAGATTCATCTGACTGTGGTTTTTGACTTCTTTATTTCTTCCTTCGTCTCCATAGTTTTCTGTTTTTTATCATTTTTCTATACCTTACAATTTTGCTTACTTTACTTTTGTTGATTTGTTTGTGTATTATCATCTTGTCTTCTGCAATACTGTTTATTATTTTGAAGGTGTCTGCCGCGCTACGCTTTTTTCTCTTATTGATGAAACCACATTCTTTAAGTGTTAATAACTTTTTGATAATGCCCTTTGTAGGTTTGTTTGATGATTTTGTTGCTTGGTTTATGCAGTGCAAAAGCATTTGAGGAACGCTGAGTGAGGTCTTAAATCGTGCAACGAGCGTGTATTGATGGTGATTTTGACGCAGGAAGGGGTGCCCTCGGATAAGGACGACTTTGGCGACTTCCGGAACCGCGTTGCAGAACTCATCAAGGATGTGGTCTACCTCGTCGGATCTGCCAACTGCTTTCGCCAGGTGGGCTGTTCGTCTGGTGTTCTCGTAAGCAGAAAATCAGAAGTCAGAAATCGAGTGAACTTTCGGTGTTCTTGGTTGAAAAGTGAATGCTGTAGAAAGGATTCTGTTTGGTATGTTATCTCCGCACCAGCCCTCAGCATGAAGAAAAAAAAAACAAAACAAAAACAAGAGGTGAAATTCTGATTTACTTTTTGCCTGTTTGTGCATTGTAAAGTGTTGTAGTGTTGTGCATTTTCACGTGTGATTCGCGATTGATACGCTCCGAAAGCGAAAGGGAGCCTTAATAACCTCTTATTTGTCGAGCCCCGCCGCAGTGGTCTAGTGGCTAAGGTACTCGACTGCTGACCTGCAGGTCACGGGATCGAATTCCGGCTGCGGTGCCTGCATTTCCGATGGAGGCGGAAATGTTGTAGGCCCGTGTTCTCAGATTTGGGTGCACGTTAAAGAACCCCAGGTGGTCAAAATTTCCGGAGCCCTCCGCTACGGCGTTTCTCATATCATATGGTGGTTTTGGGACGTTAAACCCCACATATCATAATTCACATTTTAGGTTTCACACTGTTGAACTTGATAAGTTATTTATGTACCATTGTAGATTTGAACCACCGCAATAGCTGCTTGGCTATGACCTTCATTGGGTGTTTGTAAACACAATGGTTTCATTTGTGCTACCTTGATTGATGAGAACTGACAGGCGATAATGCCAAGGAAAGTATAGGGGATGTTATTTCTGGGAACTTTGATATGAATGTGAACAAAGTGAAATTGATGAAACGAAAGTGGCAGGTCTGCGAGTTCTCCTTAATATTGTGTCTAACAAGGAAAAGTGAGTCCTTAAAATTTTTTCTTTCCTTCCTTGAGATGTCCAGCCGCGCAATGTGATTTGACTTGTTGGGAGGCAGCGGCGGGAGTGCGGCCGGCGTAACACTGCGGCAGGTCGGCGGAGAGGCTGAACAACAGGAGGACGCGTAGAGTGACAAGCACGTAGATTGAACTTCGATGAGGCTGACAGGAGGCTCTTCTCTCTCGATTAAGGCATACGGTTTCGTGAAGGGGAAAGATGGGTGATTGGTCGGTGGGAGACAGGCCCCATGACCAGCATGATCACTCCAGGGTCGCTAAGGAAATTGGCATAGGCTAAGGAAATGGGCACGCAGCAATAATCATTTCTCTAGCGTACTTTCCTCCCGTTACCACCACGGTTCTGGTAGTTCGCGGTCACAAACGGTGCGCGCTTGTCAGTGTGACATAGCATTCTTCACAAAAAGTGCCCAGCGCTGGGTTTTCAAAAAAAGAAACTCGAGTAAGTCACATGATGATTATTGGAGAACTACTCCCGAAATACACCATTATTTCTTAGAGTAGCTTCATCTAGCGGCATGTAAAGAAATGTTACCGCACTGATGGGTTTACACGACACCAGGGGCCGCATGACACATGATCCGTTGTAGCTGTGGCTGTTCAAAAGAGGGTTGTCTTCTTTTCGTTTCCATTTTTTTTTCTTGCGAGCAGATGTTTGAGAACCTGAAGAACCAGGGCGCCTCGGCCACATGGGATGTCACCGAGGCCACCCTGTTTGCCATGGCTGCTGTGGCGAAAAACATTGTGCCGTGAGTACAGTTCTTTGCGATTTACGATGCTTCATCGAGCATCGCTTTTTTTGTTTGAATTGAAGTTGAATCAAAAGGGTTTCTGAAATTTAATAACTTCATGTTGAGTTCTTATACACTCGAACTCATTACAACGAACCCAGGTATAACAAAATGTCGCTTGAAACTAAATAAACAATAGTCATGCAATAAATATGTTAAGAATAGACCTATATAACTAACTTTCTAATGCAAAAAACTTGATTTTGTATAAGATGCAACTTTATAATGGTGAGGTGTGAGTGTAGTAGCACGGAGATAGTTAGAAGCAATAAAATACGCTTTAAAATCCACATAACAAAGGTGTTTAACGTGCTTTTGAACACAAAGAAAAAAAATTGAAAGCATCTATTACATCGGGAAAATAGGGAAATTGAAATATTTTGATTATGCATACCCGACATGCTATTTTTCTTTCATATCTCATTGTGCAAGGCTTCCTTTTATCATTTTCCTTTTTCCATTCTTCAAGTAGTTGAAACTTGACTTGCTTGTGAGCACAGCGCTTCTGTTGCTATTGGGGCAATGGCAATAGTCATATCTGCACGGTTGGGGGTTAGGTTATGACAAGTATGCCAATGTTTCTTTATAATAATGCAGTATATGTTCTGTGCGAACTTGATTTGAAATTATTCAACCAAAATCACCATGTCTGTCCTGAACCTGAACTTCACCACGTGCGCAAGTCAATTTTCATTTGCTGCTTTGCAGGGAGGAGAACGACACAGTCCCCGAGGTGGTGGAAGCCATCTTGAAGCTGCCCGCGGAGTCGCACACGGCAGTGCGACACACCAGCATCCAGCTCCTGGGTGAACTGTGCGAGTGGATCGACAAGCACCCGCAGTACCTCGGTTCGTGGCTGGTTTTCTGCCTCTCTTAAGGGGGGACGCGGCACTTCGGGACCGAAAATCAGCCAAAAGATCGAGTTTTCGCGGACCTTCTTTTCGCGTTCCCGACATCATTGCGCACCTATTTACAAAATTTCATAGCCGAATACCATCAACTTTTATCGTTATTCAACTTTAAAAAACCGAAAACGGGCGTCCTGCCCTTTAAATTGAGGGCGAATAGCGCAGGTTTCGGCTCTACGATACGCGGGAACTACGCGCTCGATCGGTGCCATTTTGGTCTTGTTTGAAAGAACGCGTTTTCAGCTGTTTTTTTTTATTCAGTAAGCAACATTGAGCGTTTCCTCGGCTCGAAAAACGGGGCCTCAAAGACGAAGAGCCGCGCTCACTGCCATTGGCTAAACGGCGCACGTGACTGAAATGGCGCTTTCCGGTTGGCTGGAAGCTCGCGGCTTGCGCCTGCATACGCGACCTGACGCCATTTTGAAAGGGTTACCGCTGTGACGCCTCGAAATCGGCAGAGCACTCTGAAGCTTCTGATCGTATCGCCATGCCTGGAAACGCAAAAAAGTATCGGACCGTGCACGCATTTAGTCGCAGGAAACGCAAAGGTCGTGGGAGAAAGTTTACGAAGTCATCAGAGCCCTTGGTTGACTCCGACGAACGATGTGTCGACGCTCCGCGGCCGTTCAGCGATGGTGCGACCGAGCGCGTTGCCTCCGACGATGATGACGGTGAAGCGAACTCCGGACGACTACGAATCGACGCCAAGGTGGTGACAAACGCCGAAGTTGAAGAAAATCGTGCCCGGGAGAAAGCGACGCTCGACCGGCTTTCATCGGCGCCAGCAACTGCACGGAAAATTGACTTTTTCACCGCGAGTTGTAGCGAGGCAACCGCACAGGACTCGGACCACGCTGCTCCTTATCTGCTTATGCATCTAGATATCCTAAACGCGATAATGTGTGCCTTGTGTTGCAAAGCCTGCCACGGACCGGCTACGATCGTCAGAGGGGATCGGGACTACGGACTTGCCGTGAAAGTGCTAGTGCAGTGTGAAAGGTGCGGCGAGATCGCGAATGAATGGAATTCGCCCCGCGCGAATGGCACGAAAACGTGCAATCCGTTTGAAGTAAATCTTCTCGCTTCGAGGGCGATGGTGGCTACCGGCAACGGCCAAACGAAAATGAACGATATTTTCGCAACAATGGGCATCTCACACCACGGTATGCACCACAAGACGTTTCAGCGGCATTTGAAGAACACGCTGGCACCCGCTGCAACGCGAGCGGCTGAGTCCGCTATGAGCGAATGTGCGGAAAAGGTTAGAACAATTTATGATGACTTGTGCTTCGGCCACCGGGGCAATATTGCCGTTAGCTACGACGGCACGTGGAAGACGCGAGGCCATTCTTCCCACATCGGCGTGGGCACAGTTGTCGAATTATTTAGTGGCTACGTGTTGGACTACGTCGTTCTTTCCAACTTTTGCCTAGGCTGCGAGGTGGGCCCAAAGCCTAGTAGTGAGGGCTATCAAGAATGGAAGGCTAACCACAAATGCCAAAAAAATACGAACAGCAAAGCGGGGCAAATGGAAGTGGAGGCGGCTCTAATTCTATTTCAGAGGTCGCTTGAACGCCATGGCCTGCGCTACACAACTATGCTGTCTGATGGAGACTCTAGGACATTTTGCGCCATACAAGACGCCAAGGTGTATGGTTACATTGACGTGCAGAAGGAAGACTGTATTAATCATGTACAGAAACGGATGGGCACTGCATTGAGAAACCTGGTGCAGAAACAAAAGTGCGATGGGAAAAGAGGCCTTGGTGGGAAAGGCAGGCTCACAGGTGAGCTGATCACCAGGCTGAGCACATATTATGGCCGGGCTCTGAAATCGCATGAAGGTGACGTGGGCGAGATGCAAAAGGCTGTGATGGCCACATACCGCCACGTCACCTCCACTGATGAATGCTCGGACCACAGTCTGTGCCCAGCTGGTGAAACTTCATGGTGTCGGCACAATGCCGCAAAAGCAAAGGGTGAGCCCGACCCCAGGCATGCCTACAATCTACCGAAAGACGTGGCAGAGGCATTACTACCGGTTTATACCCGGCTTTCGGAAAGAGCCCTGCTTCAGAGGTGCGAATGCGGCAAAACGCAGAACTCCAACGAGAGCCTACATTCGGTAATCTGGAGTTTGGCCCCCAAGGAGCACCATGCGTCCCTGTTCGCTGTTGAAGCAGCTGTTGCAGAAGCAGTGCTGCGCTTCAACACGGGCAATTTGAATTCTGCAACGGCAATCTTAGGTGAAATGGACATGAATGCGACAAGTACTGGTGCCAGGAGAGCGAGAGAAAAAGACCACCGTCGCAGCATTGTCTCCAACAAGAAAAGAACAGCCTCATTGGAACTCCGGAAGCTAGTGAAGAGGAGGCATGAGCACAGAATGCATTCAGACTATGCTTCTGGTGCGTTTTGAGGTTGTCTTGTTGCATCTTCTGCAATAAAAATGTGTGCCCACGTTTTTTCTCGATTTCTCAAAACGACAATTTTCATGTGCTTCCCATTATGCCGGAGCAATATCTCTTGTTCTATCTGGGTTATCATTACGATTTCTTTTTTGTTTCGAAGATAAATGCAGGGGATGTGTCGTAAAGTAAGTTTTATTGTAATAATTTTTGGAGAAAATTCTCTAAATGGATCTTTTGTTTCAAGTGTAGATGGGGAAATTTTTCATGTCATATTCAACATCCCACAACTTTGCTTCGAAATAGCCCAGAACAATGATTTATACTTTATTGCACACTGTGAACATACCGAATTGGTTCTATAGGTTGCACATCAATATCCAAGTTACAGTTAATTAGCTAATTAGGCCTTAATTGAAAAAGTCGCAGTTCATTATATCTTTAAAACTAATTGTCACAGCAAAAAAAGAATTAGATTTTTGAAATCAGCAGTAAAATCTACATAGGCTCTCCAAATTTGACTGAGGTACTCGCAAAAATAAAAGAGTTTTTGGAAGGTGTAGCATCCCTCCTTAAGGGATATTTGGGAAGCCTAGCAGCAGTCTGCTTTTCTGCAAGAGTGGCAGTGTACGTGCTATATTTGACGGTATTTTTAGCTGCCAAGCGTTGCAGGCAGTCTGTTAACAGTCTTAAACCATGACACAGTCTGCCAACAATTTTGAGTTTTCAGCGAAAACTAGAAGTAGATAGTCTAGTATGCCTATACAGACATGAAAAATAAGCCTTAAAATAATGTTTCAGCACAAAAGAAGCCTTTAAGGTATCCTTCCGTAAGCGCCCCCCCCCCCCCCCCTCACCGTCGGCGACTGCCATTTTTCTGTGGCACGTGACGTTACGTGCTGAATGAATAGCGTCGTCTTCTACGCCAGTGCCAGCCGCTGCGAATTGCTCAGTTCTCAATGCCGAACTCAAGCAAGCTCTAATCGCTCCATTCTACGTGCAGCTGACAACAAAACAAATTGTTGGCCAGAATACAGGCGCTCGCAAAGCAAGTGGCTCATTACATCACGGCTCATGAGTGCGCCACTGTTGCCAGACTCATGTTCGTGAAACTGCTCATTATAAATCAAGTTCTCAACGAAATGCGCTGAAATTTCGGCCGCTTGTTTGCGAACACCCAAGGATTGACCCGCATAACACAGATTAGGAGCAGAAGTCAGGTGTGATGGCCCCTTTCAGCATGCTGTGAACGTGGCTTTGTTGCTTAGCGATTAAAGTGTTGCCCCGATGAGCTTGAGAAAACTGGCTGGATTCCTAGCAGTGGCAGCCACATTTTTATTGTGGCATAATTAAAGAACAGCCACATACTTCGGCTTAAATGCTCATTGATTAAGGAATCCCAGATGGTCAAAGTAAACCCGAAGTTCCCTTTTACTTGTGCCTCGTAGTCACCATGTGGTTATGGGCCATGAAGCCCCAGAATTAAGGTTTTGGTTGGCCTAAAACACTATTAACTGGGGCTGTTAGTATAGGATAGGGCAGATTTACCTGATGAGATAAAAAGAGCTGATGCACAGAACAAGAACAGTGCTCGTTAGGTGCATCGGTGTTCTTTCCTTGTTCTCTGTTGAATGCACACTACCGAGCACCTGAGATTACGAACGGACTATATCAGCAGTGAATTTTGTGAAGTAGGAATGCATTCATTGTACTATAGACCCTTTCACTGTTTACAAACACAGGCCCTTGATGACATTCAGTTTTGTCCACTGATGTGCCTTAGTAGCATTGGTGGACAAGAAGAGCTTTCGAAAATAGCTCGCTGATTTTCTACAGTCCATTTCCCTTATTTGGCATAACATAATCAAATAAATGTTATTTTGAGCTATACAACAATGATAAAACATTCCCTTGTGCTTGACACACGTTTCTTTTATGTGAAAAACGAGAGACTTTCTTAACCCTTGAGAAGACTTCAAAATGTGCCGCCAGTTTCGACGTTAGGGGCTGGTAAATGAGGTGACCGGAAGTTTTTGGGGGTACAACGCTTGCACCCTTAAAATCTTCTATTGAAGTGGTTCTCAGCCATGGAGGTGTTGGGGAGCCCTTGTGGACTGGTGGAAGTGGTGGGGGACCTTTTGCAGTGGAGGGGAGGGAGGGAAGGGGTACGTAGGGAAAGAACACAACTGGAGCATGAAACAGGTGCCTTTTATTGCTACCAAAAGCATCAAGCAAATGGGCCACATCACTTCATTTTGGACAGTTAATCAATACGGCACAGTCACGCTTAAATAAAAATGCGGGTGAGTGTTTCGCATATCATAGAAATTGCTTCGCGGACCCTAGGGGGCCAGCGGACCCCCATTCAAGAACCACTGGTCTATAGTAATTAACTCTAGAGACCTGACATAGATGATGAGGGGCTAATCAAGTCCCGTCCTTTAACTTCAGCTTTGCCTATATGTTATGCGCGCATGTGCATACCGCTAGCACAGATTTCAGAATACAAGAAAATCACGAACTGAACTAGACATCAAGATCTCATAACGCTAAGGTGTTTTGCATTTCACTGAAGTTACCAAATGTCGTGCGACGATGCTCACTTGATCTCTCACTCATCCATCTCTTGTCCTTGCGCGAGTCGCCATGACTATACTGTTGAACGCCTCAATAACGAAAGCCTTCAGGAACGAAATTCGGACAGTAACAAAGAAATCTCGTATACCCACTGAACATCCAAAGAGCTCAATGAATTTGCATTCTCAACAGTGGAGAGACATTAAAAAGCGTTGCTGCTATAACAAAAGTTTCAAGTAGTAATCGGCAACATTTGTTACGAACCAACCCATCAGCTGTTTGTGCACCTTGAGAAGTTATAAAACTGCAGCACTGCTCATTCAACAAGTTGGGCACATTCGTTTCTGCCAGCAGGCATCGGTGCAACCATTGCTGTTTACATATGCTCGGATGATCATGATAGCAACAAGACTTCGTTTTTGTTTTTCGCTGAGGAACGTTTTTGTTTACACCTATGCCAGCACACAACGTTTGAAGTGACGTCTCCTGCGCTTTACTTACGCGCACTGTTGTCTAGCCTTCGGAAATATGCTGCCTCCTATTAAAAAGCATAAGCTTTAATGCTTCAGAAGTCTAGAATCATCGCCGAAGCTGTGAAGGGCAAAGAAAATAATAAATAAAGGCAGAGGAGTTTGACAGAGTAAGATTTGTGACTTCTTTAAATAAATTTTGGTTGTGCGATGTAATTTGTGTGCATATTTTACTATTTTTGCGAAGAACGAAACTTTCATAAGACCAAGCAAAAATCACTTTCCTGTCGATTGCATTATTGAGGGTTTAGACTATATGTAATTACTATCACAATAAAGAAGTGTTCTACGTGTTGAATTGTCTCTTGACTCTCGTTTCTTTCCTTTCCAGATCCGGTGCTGACGTTCCTGCTGCAGGCTCTGCAGACGCCGAGCCTGGCCAGCGTGGCCGCAGCCTCCTTGCAGAATGTGTGTGCCACCTGCCGCACGCAGATGGTGGCACACTTCTCTGCCCTGCTGCACATTGTCAGCGCCGTGGACACCCTGAGCGTCTCGACCAGCGCCGCTCTCGGGCTGCTCAAAGGTGCGTCGTTATCCATGTCTTCTGCCCCGCTGCGGTGGTCTAGTGCTCAGCTGCTGACTCGCAGGTCGCGGGATCGAATCCCGGTTACGGCGGCTGCATTTTCGATGGAGACGAATGTGCTGTAGGCCTTGCTCAGGTTTGGGTGCACGTTAAAGAACCTACCCCAGGTGGCCGAAATTTCCGAAGCCCTCCACTACGGTGTCTCTCGTAATCATACAGTGGTTTGGGACGTCAAACCCCGCTTATCAATCAATCTATGTGTCCTTTGGTGCGTCTGCTGTGAGCTGCTCAGTTTCGTAGATGATCAGACCTCAATATAACGAACCCGGATATAACTAAATATCGGTTATAACCGTAGGTCGGCCGACTCATTCACAAGTTCACCCACTTGGACTCGGACGGAGCAGTCAGTCTGAGTGAGCCCTGTAGAAGAACATTTTAGTGAGTGTAAGTTTGTATTAGTTTGGCTCTGGAAAATTTCGGTAAGTCTGTGTTCGAGTGAGTCCAAATTGTAAGGTATATTTTTTGAGTGAGTCTGAGGGGGTTTTACTTCTTTCTGCTGACCTATGGTTATAACAAAGGAAATCAAGAATAGCTTTGCGATGAATCTAATGCCAAAAGTATGCTTCTATAACGAATTTTTGGATATAACGAACTTATTTTCTTGTAAGATGCAACTTTGTTATAATGAGGTCTGAGTGTACAGTTAAAACAGTATAATGAACTCAATCCTGCGGTTTATTTCTTTCCCTCATGAAGATGAGCTGAGCTTGTTCACACGCTTTGTACCGCTCTTACTGAAAACGAGCTGGGCTCGTTCATGCGATGAAGCTACAGTCAAAACCGGAATTTTGAAAAAAAGAAAAACATTAAGAAGTTGATCCTTGTCTTATATGCCGGTCATTGGCAGAAAAAAAATCAAGTCTCACACCAATGGGCAGCCGATGTTGGAAGCCTTATTGTCATTGTGGCTAGGCAAGGCCTACAGTGTCCTAAGAACGTCATTTTGCTTCGGTTATCTGCTGTCAGTATGCTGTTTTCTTTTTTCTATTTCCTTAGAAATGAGTGGTAGTCGACAGCAGTTTACGATAGGCTTTATCAAAAAAAGTTATCGAGTATGCCGAAGTGCACGGCAACCTGGCAGCACAACGGGAATTCAGTGCATCGGAGAAAAGCATCCAATACTGGAGGAGCCAAAAGCAGCACATCACATCCTGCAGCAACTTAAAAAAAAGAAAAGAAAAAAAAAAAAACCCCAGGAGCTGCATTGCAAGGTCGCTACCCGTGACAGCGAAGCGTGTTTGTGTGAAAGCTTTCGAGATATCGCTCGACTCTGCGCTCACGAGGCTGCAATTCAAGGGATCGCCATCGGGGGTGAGCCGATTTATGAAGGGGAAGGACTTTGTGCTCAAGTGGCGTATTTCCGTTTTTCCACTAATGCTGCATCAGTCACGCATTGGATGTAATGGAGGACAATCCCTTCTGAGGCGTTACTTGTGAAAAACAGACGTTGTTGGACTCTGATTCAGACAAGTGTGAGTGACAGCAATTTGTGGCCTTGTGGCGTTTAACTACATAAGATTGATGTTAAAATAAAAAGAAATTTCACCATAGTGGGGCTGGTTGCGTCGTGTATTTACCAAGGTAAGCGTGCTTCGTGATGGTTTGCAATTTTTAATGATTTCTTTCTCGGGGATCCAATGTTGGGAGGGTCGACCTATATTCTGGTCCGACCTATATTCCGGTTTTTACGTTACTCTGATTCATTTTGTTGAGTTCTCCTGCACTTGAACAGATCTATCTGTAAAAAAAAAATCAAAAATACACTCGAAACTTGCATTTTAATACAGAAATGCATGCTTGCATTTGCAATGTATCGTTTTTGTCGAAAATCTCTAGGAAAGGGGTTGAAGTCATACTGAATAAAATTTTTAAAAAAGTGATGGAAACTTTAAAATACCTCTCGAAACATGCTACTGTCGAACCCCGCTACAACGAAACTGACGCGGCGCAGAAAATATTTCGTGGAAGCGAAAATTTCGTTGTAGTGAAATCGAAAAAATATAGCTGATCTGAGCTATCAAAACAAAAGAATGTTTATTCTCCAAATTTAAAAAATGTCCGCTGTTTCCCTATTCTTTCCCAGTAGCGTCACAACGCAAGTCTCACCTATGCATAGCAAGCCCATGGTGAAAAGCACGCTGAAACAACGTCTAAAACCGCTTTCGGTAACGGTAACGAACCAAATAGTTGCATTAACACGTTAGCACCAGGAGCTGTCTGCCTTCGCAAGTATCTGACAGCGCCGAAATGGAGGCAGGGTATCATGGAGCGACGACATTTTGCATTATTCTATGGCATTCTTATCATCCATCACTCACATGATAGCTGATTTTGTTGATAATACAGACGAACAGCAGCTCTGATTAGTTACCACTCTGGTCAAGCGCAAGCATAGTGATAAGCATTGGAATCAAAAAAAGGCATGGTTCCGCGGTTGCACCCAGCAGCTGTGAAAAAGAAACCATGAACTGAGCGATTGAGCTTCTCGTCTGCGGCTCGAAAGCAAGCCAGTGGCAAAACAAAAGCAAGAAATCGCATAGTAAAATTTCGTTTTCAAAGAAAGCGGGACGGTCGAAGAAAAGGTGTTCATTGGGGCGACAATATTTATGCATTGACTTGTATGGACTGCTGACGGGGAATCGTAAATTTTTTGTTGTAGCGGAAATTTCGTTAAGCGGCGTTCGTTGCAGCGGATTTCGATTGTACTGTTCCGATAAACAAAATTCAATTCACATGTTTGTATTTTCGGAGTACACTGAAATCTCGATAAAAGTACCTGGATATAATAAAATATTGCTTATAACAAAGTTAGTGAAAAATATTCCTGCAATGGATGCAGTGTTAGGGATTTACCTTTATGGAGAAGTCTTGGACGTAACGAACTTATTTTCGGGCCAGGTGCAACTTTGAGATAATGAAGTTTGAGTGTGTTGGCAGCGCACAATGGCTGCCCATCGGGGCATGTGGGTTGGATTATTGACAGCCTTTACGTCAAGTGTCCTCACGGCGGGAGCAGGTTGCACGTTTTCCCATCTTGCTGCTTCTCTTTCCACAGCTCTCTTTTACATCTCTCTCTACGCCTTGCACAGTGGCACTGATATTACCTTACCCAGAAACGTTGCTCGTTGCCAGTGCTAGCCGCAGTTTCTAGGGACATGATTTGGGTGCACGTTAAAGAACCCCAGGTGGTCGAAATTTCCGGAGCCCTCCACTACGGCCTCTCTCATAATCATATAGTGGTGTTGGGTTGTTAAACCCCACAAATCAATCAATCAATCAATCAGTTTCCAGGGACATGAACATGGCCTGACTTGGCTGTGGCCTCTGACTCTCGAAAGCAAAGCTCAAGCGACCTCCAAAGTGTTTTCGTGATTTGTAAATTTGTTCAACACTCAACAGGTGCCGTCTTGGTCCTGGCAAAGATGAGTCCCGAGCAGATCACGGACGGAATGCGGCAACTGTGCAGGCTGCAGACGGAGCGATTAACGCGGGTGAGAGTCTGTGCTTTTCTTCGTCTTTTAGGCCTAGGTGCCCGTTTTTTGCATGAAGCGTCGTTGGGATTGCCATCGCTGTTGGCGACGTAACTGATTGACATGACGAAATGAAATGAGAAAGAAAATATCTGGGATTTAGTGGAGTTTGAACATGGGCCTCCTGCGTGGCAGTTAAAGTGTTCTGCTGCGGAGCCACGCTGGTGCTTGAAACTCGCTTGCAAAAAGACCTCCACATAGGTGTCATCCCAGGCAAAGAATCGCATCACCTTCTGCGATATATTGGTCAGGAGAGTGAAATAACAACCGGTCATCATGAAATACTGATTGCCCAACGAGCGAGGAGATTGATATCAGTCTCCTCGAGGCCTTTAGTGACGCTTCTGTGCTGTGCAGGTCATAAACGCCGAAGAGACAAATGCCGAGGGGAGCCGGTCCGAGCCAATCATCTACCTTGACCGGCTGGCCGCTATCTTCAGGCGAGTGCTCACCATGTTTTTTTGTTTTGTTTTTTTTTTTTCTAAGAGGAGAGAGTTTAGCTTGTTAATGCAGACTGACTTGAGATGTAATGAAGTGGTGGGAAAGAAAAAAAAATACTGACGAACAATGTGAAGAAACAAGCAGGGCGGGCATTGAATTTCAACTAAGAGATACAATTCACGCTATTTGTGCCGTGATTGCTTACACTGCAGGACCAACTGTAAGGCTCGTCTTTGTCGTAACTGTTCTTGTGGTTCGTTTTATTGCGCTACACCACTTCTCATGATGTACCGACGTTCACGTGCAAGGGTGTTGTCATTAGGGGTGGGTGAATATTCGAAATTTTTAGTATATTGATACGTAACAGTCGCCTAACACGGCTGCATGAAAGAGGAGGACGAAGTTAGTTTTCGTTTGATGCTGGACTGGCGCCATCTTGCTCGTCGAGTTCTGTGCGTTGTAAATAGATTGGTAAAGAAGTTACTCGTAACATTATTGGTGGAGGTGGACGACCCCGGAACCTCAATGGAGACGTGCAGCGGTCGTATAGTATAGTAGTGTTTGCTATTTGAGTCGATTCACACTGGAGTTTTGATTGATTGATATGTGGGGTTTAACATCCCAAAACACCACATGATTATGAGAGACACTATTCCAACTATTTGAATGTTATGAAAACGAATGAAGTCACTGTACTGGCAGTGGCCCTCCAGCTTGTCAATACGCTTCACCCCCTCCTACTCTCATGGTTTCACTTCACCCCCTCCTACTCTCATCTCTGATATCAGATGTTTTTACTTATTGGCATCTATGAGGTGATTGCACAACACTTTTTACATCTTATCCCAGTACTTCTTATCCCATGACCCCACTTTATTTATGCTGGCTCTTGGCCAATAGCACACTACTCGCTCTTTGGTGTCAAAATGTTGGTGTCGGCAGCTCCGACGTGATTGAGCACCAGCCTCCGTTTGAAAAGATCGTGGCTGAAAAAATGGCAACTTCCTGCTTTGCTTCAGAAGCCTCTTTGCTGCAATGACTGCAAGATTCAGCCGAAATGTTCATAGCTGTGGCTGCTTTCTGCAGGACGCGTTTTCACACCAAGCACTAGGTCTGGTTCAAGAGCCCTTAATACACACTCGGCTCTATTCATGTGGAAATAAATTTTTAAAAATTAGGGGACCCTAAAGCTTCGCCTTTAGAAGATGAACGCGATAGCAGTATCCTGTTCCTATGCGTACTTTGAACACTTAGTGCATGAAACCTTTTCGAATTTGCTATGCACCTACTACTTAAATGTGCAGTAGCATGTGTGCCTTTTGTAGTGGGGAACTGGCTTTCATCCACGGAGCTGTTACGGTAATCACATATTCTGACATACGTTGGCAACAGACGCTTGTACCACGCATTATTACTGCAATATTTCATGTTGCATTGTGAAGCATGTAAACAGAACGTGTGTGTTTGTGAAGCATGAAGTTACTTTCACTGCATTTGCAAGCAGAGAAAGTTCTTTTCACTGTTTCCACAAGCAGAGGTGTGGCCATGTGGTAGAACATCCTCTTGCCATGCAAACGACCCGGGTTAAATCCACACTTTGACCAAAACAGCCCTGGTTTGATCCCCACTGTGATCTAGGATTTTTTATCATTTATTTATTTTATTTGCATTGCTCTCGATTTTCGGTCACAACCAATGACGCCGACGCCGGAATTTTCGCGTAACGAGCTCTTTAACGCTATCGCGCTAATAAAGAAGTCCTGGCTGCAGGAATACCAATGTGAACATCCCGCCGGGCCAGCCCCACCCGTGCCAGCCGGTGGTGGAGGAGGTGTGGCCAGTGCTGTCCCAGGCATGCCACCGGTACCAGGCGGACGAGAAGATCACCGAGCAGTGCTGCCGGTGCATCCGATTTGCGGTGCGCTGCATTGGTCGGCATTCACACTCCTTGCTGCAGCCGCTCGTCACACAGGTGTGCCTGTTGGTTCAGTGGTGTTTACCCTATATGCATGATCGTAAGTCAACCTAATATTGCGATAGCAATTAAAAGGACACTCTCAGCTGGTTTTTGTCGCCGGTATCAACGTTTGTCACCAGCGTCGTTCACCGTATGTATGTCTACATATCTATTTATGTATAAAAACGCAAGAAAGAAAAATAATCCAGAAAAAGATTCCGATGTGTGGAATCGAACGTCCGACCTCTCTCACCTGAGTGGGTGGCCTTTGAGCCACGAAGGAGCACCTCTTTCAACGCTAAAAGGGCAAGGTATCTATATCTACCAATGAGCACACACGGCGCCCAGCTAGTCACGATGCGTTGATGTGCGCTCATTTCCCATGCGTACTTTGCTCCATGGAGGTGGGGGGAAAGTAGACGCTCGTGCGCGCTCTTATCCTGCGGTGGGGGAGAATCGTGCGCTTTCACTGGAATGATTGCTTTGTAGTTGCCGGGAGCTGCATAGACCCCACTTGCGGGTGACATGAGTCTTAGAACGATCGAAAATGGCCAAAAAATGGCTATTACTTCCTTCTCCTAGTAGGTAAGTTTCGAAACACTTATTGATCTTTGTGGCTTTTGTTGCAGCTATACTGGTTGTTCTTGCCCCTATTGTAACTGCAGAGGGCAGCACAGGAAAATGTGAAACTGGCTGAAATGGCTAGAAAAAAAAAAAAAGAATCTGGCATGCTGAGGTGTGGTTGCTACATCACGTTTACCTTCGGCTCTGTCCGTGGCAGCTATTCATTGTGCTCCTGTTTTTGGGTTAAACATTTTTTCTGTTTCAGTTATTGCCAAGGTGTTGTTTTCCACCAGGAGTGCCGCTGCTGGCTTATTGTTGCGCGCCATTGTTGAACTGTCGATCATTGATGGAAGAGCCGCCCTTCAAACAAGCAGCAGCAATCCTGACGGCTAGCAACAGCTGGGCGAAAATTTTGAGCTTTCTTTGTGGAGTGTGCTTGAGCATTTATTTTTCTTTTTTTTCTTTATATTCTTTTTTCGTAATGTTTCTCGATACCACTACTAGGTGGAATACTTTGCTACACCTGATCGCTGTGGTGGAGGCAGCGCTTTGTTTGGCAAGGTGTATGCTGTGTGGTATGTTGCCAGGAATTCCAAAAAAATATATAATTTTACCTCTTTAGGAATGCTCACTGCAAAGTTGCGTATAATTTGAGTGGCTCATTGAGTTTGGGATCAAATACAGCGTAACTCCGCAATAATTAAAAAAAAAAACAGCAGGAAGGGGGAAATGGGAGATTGCAATGAAAAAATTTGCCGATAGGGTTTGTGTGCTCGAGCCAACATTTCGACAATCGGACTTATCTTTCTAAAAGCTATAGCTTATTTTCTTAGTGCTTAAGTGTACATGCTGCGTGCCCTTTGCTCCAGTCCGAACGATGGAGGAGGAGAGGGCTACTGTGTATGCGTGGGTGTGAGGCGGGGAACGGCTGCCATGATTAATTGTGCGAGTCAAAAGGAACGAGGCATTCTGTGAATAAAAAGAAAGTGAAGAAACAGTGACGGGAGCCTGGTGACGACAGTAGCACCATGCAATAGTGCAGCTTAAAGTTCCAGCTGAAAATTCTTGGGCTCCGCCCACAGTATGGGGCAGAAATTTTGCACCTAAAATCTAGAGAAAGAACCTCGCATTACACATGGGGTTGTATGGTATTTGCAACCAAGCTAGTGTAACCTTTGCATTAAATTGCCTTGCAGTTCGATTGTACCCACTTCTGTCAAGAGCGACCCGTGTCGCTATTCTTCAAGAGGTCTGCGATTCAGCCCCTACAAAAATAACCTGTCAGATCGATCTATTGATCAAACTGATCTATCGTTTTACTTCAGTTTTCTAGTAAATTTATCTTCTTTTTTTTTTTTTTTCGCAGATGGTGCAGCTGTACCAAGTACACCAGCACTCCTGCTTCCTCTACCTGGGAAGCATTCTGGTGGACGAGTACGGCTCCGAGGCCGGATGCGTCCAGGGCCTCATCGAAATGCTGCAGGTCGGTGAAGACACCTGGGCTGCTGTGTGTGATCTCACTTGCAGAAAAGAGATTGAGAATTAAAGAGGCATTGATGCCTAGGAAAGTTTAAGGGCTTTACCAGCTGAGCTACCATGGCGGTCGTTGTCCCCGTCCACTTTATAGGGGTGTATATGTGCATCTAAACCTGTAAGTATTAGGCAGCCCCGCTAGTAGCCATGATGGCAAGTGCAGAACACACTTTCTCTGCTTGTATTGGCGTCACGCATCACGGGAACTTATTACTAGCTGGCAGCTGACGTATAATCCCTCACATACTACCTGAAGGAATGAAGTCTGTTAGAACAAAACCATCACTATGAATTGTGGGAATTGAGGCTGGCCCGCTGCCTTTGCGCGGGCTTTCCCGCCTTTCTGCCATTCTCATGTCCCGACATGTCTGCCCTCCTTTGCTGTCTGCCGCGCTGGGAAGGGCGGAGTGACGTTTAACTCCCTCACCCGGTAGCGGATGTTGACTGTGGCGCCGCGCGCGGGGACTCGCAAGAGGTTTTCGCGCGCTGCGTCGGGAGCGGAGAGTACAGTCCGGGACTTCAAACGGTGAGCCACGCATTCTTTTCCGTCCGTCGAGTCCCGTCGCTCGGGGCTCGTCGGACTTCGCTGACGGCGCCTCGCGCCCGATGCGAACGCTCACCTTTTGTTGCCCCGCTGCGTACTCACGGCCGAAGGGCAGTACGGTGTCCTAGTGCGTGGCCTAGCTACGCCGACCCGTCTCCCTTTGAAGCCAACGCGAGCGCCTTTGCCCTCGCTCGAGCAACCGGGCCCCTTTGTCCCGGTGTCTCCGTGGATCAGCTTTACCGCGGAGACGTGCTCGTGGCACCCCTGTGTAGTACTTTGTGCCCGTGGCGTGGATAAGCCTACTTGCTTTCCCGCCGCGCCTTTTTGCAACGGGCTGTACTGCGTTTGGTGTTGCCACAATAAAGTGTTGCGACTTGAGCAGTATCGTGTTTCCCGCCACGGCGACGGTTAACGCGTGCCCTGCGGCTCGCTAAGACCGGACCCACGCTGGTGGCCGTACTCCTTCGGGATACGTGTACACCACACTGGCGCCCAACGCGGTATCAAAAGCTCTAGCTTTTGACTGCTCTTAGCGAGTCAGTTCGCCTGCGCGATTCGGGCTCGTCGCAACATGGCTGCCTCGCGGGACTTTTGTCCGCTGTCCCTTTTAGCGGATGCCGCGTTGCACACGGAGGCCATTGCCTCTATTGACGGGAACCCTTCTGCACCCGTCTGTGTCGGCACCCCCTATTGCGCCCGTCGAAGAGGCCACCGCCTCTATCGACGGGCGCCCTTCGGCGCTCGCCTGTGTCGTCACCCCTTTTTGTGGTGAATACACTCCTACGTGGTAGCTGACGCGCTATCTCGTGCCCCTTGTTGTCTGCCGAGAACCTGGATTTCGGTGCGACGGCCGCTCGCGGTGCCTTAGCACATGCAAGCGTCGGGGGCGAAACAGCAGCTTCGCCGCCATTCGGCGAGAAGGGTGAGTCCCCATGCGGACAAACCTTGGCTGCTAACCAGGTAAGCGGCGCACCGCGAAGCGGCCGAGCGGGGGAGCTTTCCGAAGGCCACGAAGCCGAGAGCGAACCCGTAACGCCGACTCACGCGGCGGTTGCTGCGGTCCTGAGTGGGCGCGATACCAGACTCCCCCATTTGGGAGAATGGGAATTGCTTTCGGCAGCGAAGAGCTACTGAAGGCTCAGCACAGTGATCCGTTTCGAGTCTCGGAGGGACGGAGCGCCGTATACGCTGCTTGCTTTGCGGCGGGCGCCGTTAAACCGTCTTGACGAGGCGCGGAGCGCCGTTACGCTGCTTGTTCTGCGGCGGGCGCGATTAGGGGGCTGAAACAGCGTGTGTCGCTGAGTACCCGGCGGATTCATTTTGCTGAACCATGACGGGCTCCTGCTGAAATATATAGCCACTGACGACGAGTCCATAGACCCGTTTAAGGTGGTTATGCCCAAAAGTCTGAGAGCCGCACTGTTGCGATCCTCTCACGACGAACCCATGGCCGGTTACCTGAGTGGCTCGAAAGTTTTTGCGAACTGAGCAATGTTGTGACCTGGCCCGGCACGAAGCGTGGCTTTTATCGCTATTCGGTGCCTGCCACGTCTGACAAACGGTTGAGCCAAGGGTTGGAAAGCCGCCCGGTCTTATGAACCGATTGTCAGTGAGCGTCCGTGGCGCGTACTAGCTGAAAGATCCCCTTTGGGAAAACTCAGCCGTGCCCACATCGCAGACCTGAAGCCCTTTGTCACGGTCTGACGAGCTCGCGCCAGTGCCCTGCGGCACTTCGCGCAAGCAACGGGCACACCCGGAGCGACGGACCGCATTCGGACCCCGCGCCGGTATAACCTGAGGAAGCGGTCACCTTTGTGATTTCGCGCCGGACGGCGGACTTCTCCGCAACCGAAGGCCCTCAGTTTACTGTCTAGCCTCAGTATAGGTTAGCTTCTTTACGGCCTCTTCTCGTAAAGAAGTTGACCCCGCCGTGTCTGCTGCCAGTGTTTCCTTTTTTTTTTTTTTTTTGAAGTGTTCATGCGTATTTTAAGTTTTTTTTGTCTAATATTAAGTGTTCTTTGTGTTTATGTTTTTGCCAGATGTTGAGTGTCGTTTTGCTCTGTTTTTACTTTTTTTTCGTGTTCGTTTCGTCAACCGCAAAGGGAGCTGTGTGTGACCTTGAGTGTCGGTGCTTGCCGGGAGAGAGAGAGACGAAGGACGCTTTGCGCCTACGCTCGCGCAGCTGTCGGCGGTGTGTGTGCGTGTGGGTGCGTGACGCTTCGATGCGAGCCCGCGAAGAGTGCGTCATGGCTTCCCCCCCATCGATGCGGACGCTGGAGGTACTGGGGGGTCATTGACCCACTGACGTCAGACCGTCTGGCTGTGCTCCGCTCTCGGCCGTCGCCGAAGAAGCCGTGCTGCCTTTCCCACCATGGCTCCTGCGCGAGGCCAGCTGAAAGCAGCTATATGCTGCCGGCCAACGCCAGGGCGCCTTGCAGCCAATTTTGGTTCGGCCTCCCTGACCACCGGAGAGGCCCGGCTTCCCGAAACGTCCAGCTCCATCATCGAGCCAGAAATGCGGGGCCTCTGAACAACCGAAGCGGCTTTCGTCGGACTCGCGGCTTATCAAGAGCAGCAACGAGCCATCAGTGAGCCCCCTTCCGTACCTCTGACCTCGCACTCGGGCATCGCACCCAGCGGACACTGTCACGCCCTTTACCGCACCTCCGCGCACTGGACGCTATCCCCCTTTAGCACCACGAACACTAGTGCCACGTTGCTGTGCTCCCTTCTGCAGTATCTTTATAGTGTCATGTGTTTACTTTGTTATTTATGTTTTGTTTCTCATTTGTGATCTTTTTTTTTAGCAGCAGTAACAGGGCTGGACTGAGGTTAGCTACCGCTCATTGCAGTGTCATTTTAACTGCATGGGTGACGTCCGGCTGCCTTTTGCAGACCGGTAAAGGACAAGTTTAGGAGAGGGGGATGTGGGAATTGAGGCTGGCCCGCTGCCTTTGCGCGGGCTTTCCCGCCTTTCTGCCATTCTCATGTCCCGACATGTCTGCCCTCCTTTGCTGTCTGCCGCGCTGGGAAGGGCGGAGTGACGTTTAACTCCCTCACCCGGTAGCGGATGTTGACTGTGGCGCCGCGCGCGGGGACTCGCAAGAGGTTTTCGCGCGCTGCGTCGGGAGCGGAGAGTACAGTCCGGGACTTCAAACGGTGAGCCACGCATTCTTTTCCGTCCGTCGAGTCCCGTCGCTCGGGGCTCGTCGGACTTCGCTGACGGCGCCTCGCGCCCGATGCGAACGCTCACCTTTTGTTGCCCCGCTGCGTACTCACGGCCGAAGGGCAGTACGGTGTCCTAGTGCGTGGCCTAGCTACGCCGACCCGTCTCCCTTTGAAGCCAACGCGAGCGCCTTTGCCCTCGCTCGAGCAACCGGGCCCCTTTGTCCCGGTGTCTCCGTGGATCAGCTTTACCGCGGAGACGTGCTCGTGGCACCCCTGTGTAGTACTTTGTGCCCGTGGCGTGGATAAGCCTACTTGCTTTCTCGCCGCGCCTTTTTGCAACGGGCTGTACTGCGTTTGGTGTTGCCACAATAAAGTGTTGCGACTTGAGCAGTATCGTGTTTCCCGCCACGGCGACGGTTAACGCGTGCCCTGCGGCTCGCTAAGACCGGACCCACGCTGGTGGCCGTACTCCTTCGGGATACGTGTACACCACAGAATGAAGCAAAAAGCGTAAATTTAAAGGCCCGTTTTTATTTGGTAGACGCAGTATATGAATAGAGGCCTTTTCAGATTAGCTGTGTCACATCATTACTTGAGGGAATAGTTCTACAAACAGTAACATTTGTTGCTGGACTAGTTGATCGTATACATGCAGCAGGGAAAAAATAGCGCAAGTGGCGGAATATCGAAGTGTCACAATTGTTACACTAGACGCCCTTGTTGCTGAGCATGCGAATAATACAAGTGCAAGGCACAATCTGCTTTAAAGCAAAGGTGTCTGGCTGAAAGTAGCCCATTTTAAAGGTTATATTTTTTTAATGCTAGCTTCAAGTTTGCTCCTTCAATCAGCAGTCGTTTATGCTACTCTTTTCACGGCAGACTTGTACTTCAACTTCTAATGTTGTTAATTACACTCAAACCTCAATATAACACAGACATAACGAAATATCAATTATAACGAAGTAATAAATTGAAAATAGTCTTCCGATAGATAGTGTTAGGAATAACCTTTATAACAAATTTTCTGATATAACGTATTTTCTTGCATGATGCAACTTTTTTGTAATGAGGTTCTGGTGTATTATTTTTCCTGATGCAGGCATTTTGTGGGCCTGCCTTCAGGCTGTTGGCAAACGCCGATGCCCTCCGCAACCACCCTGACACGGTTGACGACTTGTTCAGGCTATGCACAAGGTAAGTGACCTATTTGGTCTTCAGCGCAAAGATGGCGTGTTGGGTTAGTTGGTTGGGATTCGTTGTGAACTTGGTTTTTAGAGCAACACTTAAATATAGCTAGTGTACAAAACTGCTACATGCGCAAGACACAGGAAACAATCCGGAAGCGTCGTTGTACGTACGGATATTCATGGTCGACACAAATTATTAAATTTCTTCTCATGCAGAAAAGTGGATGTTTCACTTACAAAGCTCTCGTCTCTAATATATAACAGTCGAACCTCATGAATTCAAACACGCTTAATTCGAACTTTCGGTTAACTCGTACTCACGCTGTGTTCCCGTCAAAGCTATGTGTATTCCAATGGGCGAAAACGCCCTGTAATTCGAACACGCCAGCACTTGCGACGGTTAATTCGAACATACCGCGCTCCAAAAATGCTCTCAGCATCACGCCTAATCCCGCGACGGCACCTCTGACACCTCAACAAGAAGGAAAGGAAGAAAAGGAAAGAAAAGGCTTCGGCAGAATGTTTGCTCTTCCTCAAATGCCGATCTGCGACGTGCCTGTGTCACACTTCCTTTTTGTCTTTGCCACGTGGAGACCCTTCTCCTTTCAACTTTGTGCGTGAAGAGAGAGGAAAAAAAAAAAAAAAAGCTGTCGCGGAGTGTTGGCTCGCTCATTTGCAATGCGCTGGTGCCACGCTTCCCCTTTCCCATCACTGCCACGTAGCATAGAGACACTCGTCCTTTCAGCACCGCGCGTGAAGAGCAAAAAAAAAAGAAAAAAAGGAAAGCTGCCGTGCAGTGTTGGTTCTCTCTCAAATGCCGATCTGCTCCTCCTCCCATGTGTAAACGTTCCTCCTTTCTCGTCATGTGCTGGCCACGCTCCGGCTGTGGAGCATAGGGTAGCAGCGGAGACGCAGTCGTTGCCGTCTTAGAGAGTGTCGGCGCTGCACTTAGCCGCGTGCTACTTGTCTTGTCAGGAGAACGCTGAAGCTGAAGTTAAAATGCTTCGTTAACTGCAAGCAAAATTGATTGATTCGCTACAAGGCAAACATGTGCAGACGCACATCACCGATTACTTCAATTAATGACCAATGTCCTGTGATTTGTGAATGAATGTAAGTTTTCTGAATCTTCCCTCTCATGTGTTAGCTCAATGCACATGAACCACTGCATGGTGAGCCCTCCGTTCATTTAGCTTTCATTAATTTCGAACTTCTTTTAATGCAAACAAATTAACAGGCTCTTTCGAGTTCGCATTATCGAGATTCAACTGTATTATAAGCTTCAGCAATTTCCCTTGTCAATTGATTCGCATGTCTAAAAATGACGTTGGTTTTGTGAAATATAGGACGACACCCACACGACCTACAGTGAACCGGCAGATGAAGTTTCGCAACATCTCCAGCACCGTCTTTTTCTTTCTCTTTTGCTACTTCCTTGTGTCTGTGTTTCTATTGTTGCGCTGTAAAACAAGTTCGCTGTGATTATTCAAATAAGTGCTGTCTCAGTTTATTAATACGGATGAGATTATTAAGCTTAGGGCATGACCAAACACAAAACTATACACTTTCAAAATTTTGCTAAGGAGACAATAATTATATGACCTGCAATTCGTGATCGCTGTGCTGCGAATGCAGAAGCTCGTGTTTTTTTTTTTTTTTGCAGGAAATAAATGCGCTGGCGGAGTCTTTCTAGCACACTCTGTATGTAGAATTGCAAGGTTGTCTGTGGGCAAAAATTGACTCGTAGGAATAGAATATCGGGAATCCTTACTGCCAGAGAAGTGACGGGCCAAGTGCTATTCACTGGCAGACTGATTCTTTGAGCAAACGTTAAATTTGCATAATTGTCTTTAATGCGGTCGATACCACTTTCTGAACATTGTCAAGACAACAATGTGATGACCCCCTGTTTTTGGGCTCAGCCTCACCCATCTCTTCGTGCCTCTCATTGGTTTACCCTTTCCACTGAGCCTCGCCCTCGCCTACTTTTGTGCACCTCTGATTGGTTCATCCCTTCCACTGAGCCTTGTCCTCGCTCTATTTTCGTGCTGCCGTTTTGACTGAGCCTTGTCCTCGCCCACTCTTGTGCACATCATTGGTTCATCCTTTCCACTAAGCCTTGACCTCTTCCATTTTTGTGCACCTCTGATTGGTTCCCTTTTCTACTGAGCCTTGTCCTTGCCCACTCTTGTGCTCCTCTCATTGGTTAACCCTGTCCACTGAGCCTCGCCAATCTTGGCACTGTGCAGCCTTTTCCTCTTCTGCCTAGTTGGACTCTCGCCACACTGCAAGTCCATGTGACTGGTGCTGCACCATCAACGGATGGGGAAACCATGACTAGGAACCGTTTTGCTGCTAAAATTACAATTCTTCACTCCTGCAGGTACATCCAGCGGATGCCCGTGGTGTTCCTGAAAAACCCTGCCCTGTCGGGGATCATCCAGTGCGCCCTGGCCGCCTGTCCGCTGGACCACCGGGAAGCCAACACGTCGGTGATGAAGTTCCTCTGCGACCTCATTCACTGTGGACGGTCCAAGAAGGTGCGTGGGAAACGTGGCTGCATGTCGAGAACAAGAATACATTTTTATTCGACGTCAATGTGTGAACGATGTCAGTAGAATGCCCTGAAGGACTGGGTAAGGACCACGCCTACACTGATGCAATGAGGAAACTGTCAGTCTGTATGCTAGTGTGCCTGCCCGTCTGCCCATCATGAAAGATGATTATTGCCATAAATAAAATCAAAGTAGATTTTCTTGCTGGGGTGTAGGTTTGAATATATGAAAAATATGAGTGCATGTCACGCACAATGTAAAGCATGTAAAAAGAGCACGCTTCCAGTGTAAGCTTTCTTGTGTTTCGTGGTAGTGAAATGAAGCCCTCGGCAGGACAAGAAGTGAGCTGACATGGTGTATTGTACGTGCGTAAAAAATTCTGAATTTCTGGAAATTTTTCGGACCGGACAGGTCGTGCCATCTAGCGGGGCCCAGTTGAACCAAGCACGCCACCCATCTCGGAGGCAATGGCAGAATATTGTTTGATGGCTGTTGTTGCTGCCGTGGCTGCTACTACGTGTCGGTGGCCGCGCAATAAAACCGGGCAATGTTGCACACGGCAACAGTGACATGAAAGTTTCCACATTGAGGCGGGTAATTTGAAGTGTACTAACGTGATGCAGACCACTAAAACGTGATGCAGACCACTAAAACGTGATTTTATTTCAAAATAAGCCCTTCCTTGGCACAAAATAGCACAACGAAGTGACAAAAAAGTTCATTTTTTAAAATTGACATATTTGGTTTCTGGAAGTATTTTTCTATCTTTCTGCAAATTTTTACGCACCAGGAAGTAGTAATTTTTTTGTAATGTCATTTTAACTGTCCAGATTCATGGTGCTGTTAATATGCAGAACCTGCAAAAAAAATGGGGAACCGACTTGGAGGCTTCTTTATAATTTGCCAGCACCTTTGTCTAAAGCTCTACTACCAATTTATGAGCACCTTTATGAGGATTGAAAAACATGCGCACCATCATTGTTGCTTTTTGAAGAAACTGTGTGTTTTCAGTTTTTTCCATTTTTCTCAAAAAAGTAAATTTGTGACTATTCAGTTTTGAGGCCTCAATATCTCTGCAGCTAGGGCAGGTGCAACAATAATTATCCTTGCAGTGAAAACCTGTATGTGTGTAGAATGCAAGTATGAAAGCAGAATTTAGAGCACATGCCTTTTTAATTAATTACTAATCAGAATTGTAACACAATTCCAACTGCTTTTGAAAATGTATAGTTCATTTTGCTGCAAAATAACCAATAAAGGCCTAAAAACAAAAACCTCTTCCATACTTTCACTCTATAGTCATTAGTCTATGTTGGCATATCCTAAATATCACTTTTAATTAAGCACTTTTTTTTCTATGGTGGCCTTAAACAATAGGGGGTGAACTTAAGTCATCTCAGCAACAAAGTGAGTTACAGGAAAACTAATTAAATATTTGAAATCAGCAGAAAAAACTGCATAACCCTTTGCAGTTTTATCAAGATCACTGAAGAAATAAACAAAAAATGTCTAAGACCAGTCTGCCCCCTTAATATTCGGCCCCGCCGCGGTGGTCTAGTGGCTAAGGTACTCGACTGCTGACTCGCAGGTCGCGGGATCAAATCCTGGCTGCGGCGGCTGCATTTCCGATGGAGGCGGGAATGTTGTAGGCCCGTGTGCTCAGATTTGGGTGCACGTTAAAGAACGTTTGGTGGTCGAAATTTCCGGAGCACTCCACTCCGGCGTCTCTCATAATCATATGGTGGTTTTGGGACGCTAAACCCCACATATCAATCAATCAACATAATACTTGCCTTTAGTGTCCCTTTAACATGGTTACAAGCACGAGAAAGATGAAAGACGCCATATCGATGCCACAAGGAGACATTCTAGGGAAAGCTGCAACTTGCAATAAAAACTCTTCGCTTGCACATCACTTAGACAACTCCCCAAAAAATATTCTGCGTGGATTTTTCTATTACTGTGTCCTCTGTAAGCGATAGCAGGTGTTGGAGGTGCGGTGATGTTGCTGTGCTCCTGACATTGCTGATTGGTGCGTTGCGTGCTGGTCCTCGCAGGAGATGCCAGACTTTGCGGAGCGGCAGTCGCTCGTCGGAGCCTTGCTGGCGAGCCAGGGCCAGACGATTGTGACCACGCTGATCCAGTCGTCCATCTTCTGCCTGCCCACTGCCTTAGTTACCCGACGTGGCTGAGGTGCTCTACGAAATGATCGAGTTTGACCGGCAGGTGAGGTTGACGCTGATCGCTGTTGATCCTGCTACAACCTCGTGTCTGACTCAGAAACTCCTTCATTGTAGGTGATGGAGCAAATATGTAACCACGCATGTACAGTCGCCGACCGATTTTTCGGACCTGGCGGGGACCGAAAAAAAGTACGAAAAATCGAACAGTCCGAAAAATTCGCTTTCGCCAAAAATCTGAAGTTTATTGCATCAGGCAGGTTTAAAAAAGTCCTTGATGCTGCCTTGCCTCAAACCACACTTGGAGGCAATTTGGTTTGCCCGTATTTGCGCCAAGGTGACATCGTCGCCGTAAACGCTCAACAAAATTGTCACCGCGTTGGCGATCTCCGCCGCCGACGGCTGCGGGCGGTCGTCGTTGTCGTCATCCGACGACAACGACGACCGCCATCCGGCGTTGACCGTCATCCGGCGACATCTAGCTGCGAACGTCCACTCTCTATTAGCTTGATTATGGCAGCTTTCTTCTCCATCGTCAGGGTCGTATACTTCCCACGCTTCTTCACACCACCTGGCTCCCGCGATGGCACAGATGGCGAGAACACAAAATTCGATGCCGCAGATAGCCGCTGCGAAGCACACAACGTCTTGACGCTACGCGCCTTAACACGTGCAGAATGGCGACTGAAAAAAGCTGCAACGACGATAAAAGAATCCTTCTTTCGCCTCCTCCCCGTGCGATGTGATGACGATAGTGCTGACCGAAGACGAAAAAACGGCATCCATCACCGCGTCTTTTAAAAAGCAAACACGGCCTCCGAAACCTAAAATATGGCGTGCGCATTCCAATCTCGGAGGCAGGAAAGGCATCTGAAGACCAAGCTCAGCCAAGCCGACGGAAAATCCAACATGGCGGCGTTCACAATGGCTTGGGGCGTGGGCGATTTAGTCCGAAAAATCAACTTTCAGGGGCAAATTCGCCCGAAAAATCGGTCGAAACAATGCATTAGCTCTATGGGATCCCTGACGGTGCATTTATGAAGTCCGGAATATCCAACAAGTCCGAATTTTTGGAGTCCGGAAAATCGGTCGGCGACTGTAAATATTATTGTCACTGTGCAGCATTCGAAATGAATTTTTTTCAAGGTAAAGGCCCATTCTAACATTTCATGTGCTCTAGCATTAAAAGACTTGTAGCACTGCTAAGGCAGGAAGTCAGGTTATATTATACCTGTCATGGTAGATGACATCATGTGCTGTTACAAAAACACTTATAATCTATTTCAGGATAACGTGATTGATTCTATTGAATATTAATTTTTTTTCCTTTTTTACAACATACTGCAGTCGATGTGGCCCAAGCAGGAATGACAAGGTACAAAATAAGTAAGCGTATAAAGCACGACTGAAAATCTTAAACGAAAACAGCTAACAATCAACTCTAAATCATCCAGTGCAAGAATACCTTTATCAGTCCCAGCATTAGTAGTTAGAGAATTGTTCTGACAATAAATATTTGCACAGTGAGTGCAGGCCATGAATTGGCAACCACTCGGCATCAGTTTGTCTGAAGAAGCATTTCCAGTTTGCTTAGGAAATACTACTTGCATGTGGGTATATCCTGCGCCAAATTTATGCCTTTTCATACCTGCCTGGTCTCCCAGGTTTTCTAAGAGGTTCCGGATTTTGGACGTTTCTTACATTTGGTTGGTTGGCAGGAAAATCTCCTGGAAATAAAAATTTCTATGCATTATTTGGCCACATTGATGAAAACCCAACCCAGTCCGATCCAGGCTTTCTGCAAATCCAATTACATTTACACTCAAACCTCAGTATAATGAACCCAGATGTAACGAATTATTGGTGATAACTAAGTAAATTGAAAATCACTTTTTCAGTAAGTATGGTGTTAGGAATATACCTTTATAATGAATTTTTGGATATAACGAAGTTATTTTGTTACAAAATGCAACTTTGTTATAAAGAGGGGTTGAGTCTACAGTGGACTCCCATTAAACGAAACTCGCTTAAACGAAAAAGCCGCATAAACGAAACTACCTAGGCACATTTGGTTGGTCTCCTATATAATAGATGATAAAAAGTTTCGAGTAATCGGAACATATCTTTTTATGTACATCGGTTAAATGAAACGGGCAAAATCTATTAATGGCGGAAGTGAACACGGCAGTCTAGAAACCATGAAACAATTGCCGAAGTTAGCCTAGCCAAGCCCATCCAGCAATTGCAAATGTCCGCGCACGCCGAGCAGCAGACGATCCATCTCGTTTCTATCTTGTCCTGAACTTGAGATGGAAACAAAAAAACAGCAGCACAAAGCACTTTTGCTCGCAACGAAAGTAAAAATCATTCAAAAACTTGACCGCAACGACCCATCGAAGACAGAAATTGTGAAGAAGTTCAATATTCCCAAGTCCACACTGTTGAGGATACTCAAGAGCAAAAGGAAAATTGAAGAAGCTGCAAAGCTTGGGAACTTCGCCACAGACAGATTGCGGATGAGAACGGCGGCGTACAAAGAAATCGAAGATGCTCGTTTTCTCTGATTCAAGCGCGCGCGTAGTGTGAACTTCCCGATCAGCGGCCCCTATTTCGAAGAGAAGGCCAAAGAGATTGATACCCGCATGGGGATCGAGCACTTGCGGGTGAGCGATGGCTGTCTGAGCCGTTTTAAAAAGCGCCGTGGTCTTGTCTTAAGATAGTTTCTGGAGAAAGTGCGGCTGTAAACAGAGATATGTGTAAGCAATATTGGCAACATTTTTCTTTCTAATCAAGTATATAATTATTGTATACTTTAAATTTTTTTTGTTCAGTCAGCCACAGTTGGTGCTTTTGAAATAAAGCCATTTCATTCATTTTGTGGGCCTTGCTTAAATGAAACTTGTCATAAATGGAACAAATGTTCTTGCCTTTTCGAGTTCCGTTTAAGAGGAGTCCACTGTAGCTGTAAGCCTTACCTACGCTGGGCACCCCCCCCCCCCCCCCCCCCCTTTAAAGATGTTTTTGTTGTGGGAAAAAAAAAAAGTTGGTGGGCCAAGGCAATTCTGCTGCTGAGCACTGTGACATGCGACTGTGCCAATAATGCACTGAAACATAAACAAGGACGGGGATTTTGTAGTTAGAGTAATACAGTAACACTTAGCTGTCTGGCTGTGCATCTGCCAAGCTTCCAGCGCACACTCGTGGGCTGCTGTCTCCCCAGCGAGCGCCAAGAAGTGCATGCAGCGCTATCGTCATGTGCAGTTCAGTGTTCCATTGTTGCCATTAAAGGAATTCCGTTGGTTGTCTTGCGGCTCCGTCGCTTTGGCGGCACTTCAGCTATCGAAGGCTGGCATTCCGTGACAAAAACAACGCCTTTGCAAATTCTAGAACGTCTGTTTTAAGCTGTGTGAATATAACGGATCCTCCTGTTACACAATTGCCCATCATGTTGGCTTTTTAGGTGAAGTGTTGGGCTGCTAAGCTCAAAGATCTGGGTTCCATTCCCATTTGTGGCATTCGAATTGCGGTGGCTTTGAAATACGAAAGCACCCGTGTACTTCATTCTAACTGCTCGTTCAAGAACCACAAGTTGTCAAAATTTAACCCGAGCTGCACAATTTCTCGTGATCTCATATTCGTTTTGGTTTGTAGTGCACGAGGGTTTATTTCCTTCAAATGTGTTGGATATTGCATTTTGGGGGTCTTGTCTGTAGTCACAGAAAGCTGGACTGGTCTATGTGCATGGTATCTGACATTAATTTGCCTCGATGCGCCGATAACTTGTTACACTTTGTCCGTCGTAACCTCCGACTGTGCCAGTTGATGCATGGTGACGCTGTGTTTTCGCCGTTTCCTTTGCGATTTCTGTCCGCCAGGCCCTGACGACGTGGCTGGAGAACGCTCTGAAGCTTCTGCCAACGCACAGTAGTGGTGGAGCGGTGACGGCCACACCAGCGCAGCTGGAGGAGTTCCTTTCCACAGTTACTAGGTACGCATCCCCCGAAATATTGTAGCCCTCGCTTTTTGTTAGTGCAATACACTCGAACCTCGTAATAACAAAGTTGTGTCATACACGAAAATGACTTCGTTATAACCAAAAATTCGTTATGAAGGTATATTCCTAACACTACAGCTATTGCAGGACCATTTTTTATTGTTAACTCTGTTATAACTGATATTTTGTTATATCCGGGTTTGTTGCATTGAGGTTTGAGTGCACAGTTGAATCTCTTTATAGGACATGCATCGATGAGAAATTCTTGTCTTTTATATAAGGTGTTTCTTATAAGCAAGGTACCAGGTACACATATCCTTATAACCTCTATTTCAATGTAGAAACACTGGTGTCTCTTGTACCCATTTGTCAGCTACATCAGTGTCTCTTAAAAAGAGGCTCCAGTGTGACATTCTTTGGAATACACAGTCACTGATAGCATTGAAAGGTGCCCGGCTGCACTGTATTAGCATGATTAGAAGACACTGCACACCGATGGGCGAGGCTCCTATGAACATGTGGGACAAAAATTACAGCGGGGCACGTGGCACAGGTAAAAGTTATTAGAAATTGCTAATTCTTCTCTCGAAAACTATGTCCTATACCTTGGAAATCGTGTGTGTCATAAGCACATGTGCACTGCCAGGGACTGATTTTGAGCATCCTAGCTGCTTAGTCACTGCGGCTGCTTAGGGGTGCCATGACGTGCCTACACTGTGCTCTATAGTGCTAGAAATTAGCAGCCTATAGAATTACACCAGCATGCTGATGACCACTCTGAAAGTGAGTTGCGCGTTCGAGGGGACAAAAAAAAATTATTCGAAGTCATGATGTGCGCAGGCGTACACATGCAACTTCTTGCCACCTTGTTGCCCCCTGGCCTCTTTCTGGGCAGCTTTAAAAGGGCCCTGCAAGACTTTTTCAAGTAGCCGTGAAATAGATTCACTAAAGGAGCTTATTGCCTTGTGAATTAACCGCTGCAAACATTTTCAGAATCTGCTTTTGCCCCGGTGAAGGCACAGGGGAAGAACATGCATCACGCACACTCCGTGAGCTTGAGCGCTTTTCCTCCCTTTTTTTTTCTGTCAATGCGTGGCTTTTCAGTGTGATCGCGCATGTACCAAGTGACGGCCCCAGTAACAACCGAGCACGGCAGGCTCAAATCAGCCAATAGCTGATACTATGGCTATGACGAGTGATTTTTGAGCTTCTTCTTCTTCTAATCATTTTTCGAGAGAAGAGAAAGCAATGTTTAGCTGACTTTGAGAATTCATTGCGAGTTCCAGGCCGCATGCTGCGATATAATATGTTGCTCACGTGTTCTCGGAGCCTCGACTACCGATCGGCAGCTTTGTCTGACCATGCTCAAAAAGTGTCTCAGGGCCCCTTTAAGGGGGGATGTGAGTCTTAGAACGGTCAAAAATGGTCAAAAAATTGATTTTTGGGGCGTTTGTACTTCTGAGCATCTACTCTCAAATTGCTAATGCTGAATTTGGTCGAGAAACGCGATAAAATCGGCCTTCATTGCAGCCCAGTCGCACTAAAATACCCCCAAAAGGTCGAAATTTGTTCGAACTTCCCGCGCGCGCCATGTGCATTGCGGCGGACCGAGCGCCGCCATCTTGGGCTGGAATTGAAGCTGTTTACGTTGTGCGCAATTTGCGCCATCTCAAAATGCCGTCGCTCAAGTGCAGTGGCTGTCGTCAAGGGGTTTTCTGAAGGTTGTTTCCAGATTGCCGATCGGCCCTGACGCGGCGCGCTTTTCAAGCACGCCTTTCCGAGTTTCACGCTGGCGTGGGTGACCGACGCGTCATCTTTTTTTTTTTCTTTGTGTTGCGTTCGCCGCTATGGCTGTCCGTTTGTGAGCGTCTGCTCTTGCGATCATGCGTGTTTCTCGACTCACGGTGTTTCCGCTTTGCACCGGCACTTTTTCACCGCGATCGAGATGCCTGGAGACTCTCGTCTGAAACCATCGAAGCGACGAGCTTTCGGAAGCTGTAAAAAACGGCCTTGGAACAAGAAGGCGCCGGCCACAAGTGCCCTTTGGCAGCTAGTTGCAGTCGCGGCCGGACCCGTTGGATCCCCCGGAAACATTAGCGACACTGTCTACTGACGATGCCGTGGGACCAAGTTCGACTAGTGATACACTTCAGTTTGATGCTGCGTACTACTCAACGGCGGAGCATGCGCAAGTTGAGAGATTGGCGCAAACGAAGATCACTTTGTCGGGGAAAGTCGGCTACCCGAAAGTTCGACCTGCTTGGAGCTGGTGCTTATAGCCTTCGCCATCAGATTTTCGGCAGCGCCTACACAGCCAACGAGCTCGGAGATCGCGCGAGCACTGATGACGCGGTCATTGGTGAACAGCGACAGCATGACGTGTAGCTTAAATTGAGGCAGACTTCATCGCGGCCAAGCAGAATGCCGTGCGAAAGAAAATATGAGACTTTTTTGGGGCCAACATGTTGACCCGAGAGGTAGCACCGGCCACATCCAGTTTTTTTATAAACAGCTCTTTTCAGACAACCTAAACAATGCATTTACAAGATTGCAACGAGAATTTCGTACTACAGCTGTGACCCTCTGCGTCAACAAAAAGTACCCATAAAAAAGGAGCATTTTTGCAGACATCAGTTTCTCCGGACAGATGGTCGATTTTCCGGATACTTTAATGGTTCCTGCAGGGTCCGGAACACAGCAATTTATTACCAAGGGCAGCATGCTGCCTAACAGCTATTCGTTTGAGCCTCATACCCCTCAACTTTTCCAGAATTTTTAGATATGATTCCAAGGGTGGAATAAGGCACATTTTGTTTTGTTTTGCAGGGGAATAGATGGCGTAATGTGTAAAAAATTTGTGGTAAAATTTCCTTATAGAAAATTTTGCAGTGCATGTTGAAACTTCAAATGCAATTTTCTCAGCTTCACATTTTTTGCCAATCTGACTGGCCTTACGGAACTTTTTATTATGTTTTTGTGAAGCAATTTTTTTGAAATCTTATACCGTGGAACTCGTAGGAAACAGGGCTGTGGAGCTACGCTATTTTATTGTGGCCAAGAGGGACATATGAAATGCTATGAACAATAGCATGAACTAATTAAATTACAAAATTGTGGAGGATCAATGCAAATGAGAATTTTTATATGATGATGTATCTCATTGTCAATATAAATAGCATAGCTCCACATGGCAGGTCTTTGGCTACAGCTGCATCCTAAACGGAACCTAAAAATGTTGAGGCAAGTGCCTTAATGACCCGTAAGAAACTACACAATTATACTTCACTTGTGCTCTCACAATTTGATAACTAGTTGGTGTTCATTAAAACTAATATTTTTGAAAAGTGGAGGAAAATATACACACCTAATTTCATTACAGCATCTAATGAAATTTTCATTTCAAGACCAACGTTCCCAGGGCAAAAAAGGGGGGAGGGGGGAAAGAAGAAAAGAAACCTTGGGAGCGTGTGACAAATCCCTTAGACTGTGCTTGTTTTTGATCGATACTTAATAGGTTTCTGGCTTTTGATGCTGCTTTATAGTTGTCCGGGCCTTTTTTTTCTTGTTCGTGTTCGCACGCCTACTGTCTTTTACATTTCGGAGTTGTTTCATTGAGATTCCGCTGTATGTAAATTTGTCTTGTGCTGCACTGAAAGGTACAACTCTTTTATTTTGTTTTTTGTGATGCAGTGCGGAGCACATGAGGAGCATTTCGACATCGCTACGGGACTTCTCTAGGCTGTACCGATGAGAAATTTGTGAAGCAAAAAAGAAAACTAAAAGAAAGACATCTCACGGGACTTTTCTTACAGCCGTAGTGGAGCTGTTTAATCATTTTTGTCTATCGCACCCCTCCTCGCGTGGTGTGACGACTCGTCGCAGCGTCTGGGAACTGCATCATTCAGCATGGACGTCGTTAAGTTCTGGCATAGAAGATATCGCTGTACTACCTGAGAAGTATTGTATTAATTTTGTTTTTTGTTATTTTCGTCTGTTTCAAGCCGAGTGGTTTGTCTTAAGACTCAAGAGTGCGCATGCTCTCCCCATTCCCAAGTGGCCTGTCCAAGCGTACTATCCGTTTTTGTTTTTTTTGCTGGTGGCTGTGGCTCAGACTCATTTGTACCTCTCTCGGATTTCTAAGTGGCATCTTATTTGTGTAACTGACTTTGGCTACAGGTTGCATTTGGCTTGGATTTGCTTCATCTTGGGTATAAAGGTCTCGGCTTGAAAGAGGCCGTGTTCTCGAAGCTCATCGCATGTGCCACCTTGCATGCTGCTCACTAAGTCATTACTCCGTTTTTTTTCTTACTATTATTTAATTGTTAAAGTTTCAGGACAGAGCCAGTTGGTGACAATGAATGCTCAAAGCACTGCACTGTTGTTTTATACCTGTTGCAAGTCTGGGTGAAACGTTTCCACAAGGTTGCGTTTTGTACATATATGCCTCTAATTATGTTTTGTTAATCACCCATATGACTTTACTGTGTAATAGCTATCCTTAGTTTCTTAGTGGCACTAATTGGTAGTGTCACGTGTTTAACGGGGAAAGGTGTCTTTATTATTTTGCCTCGGGCTCTTCGAAGGTGCGGCTTTAATAACAGGAGGGGACACATTCTAGTTGCTAAGTTCCAAAGAGGTTGCATGATCCAGAATTATTTCCATAGACACTTTCTGTCGCCGCAAGCCATTGAGGCTGTTGGAGCTGTTGTGTGCCGTTGTTGGATTGCCTGGCCTATTGAGCACTGGGTGCTTTTTGTGGCCATGGCGTTGAAAGTTGCTTGGAAAGTTGGCAGCGGACCTCTTTCTGGAGGGGCGACATCAGTATGTATCTGCATGTTGCCTATATATTTCGATGTTACGCTTACGATCGCCATGCCGGGACAGACCGGCATCAGGCTTGACCCGGAAAAGTGATGGCTGCCTACTCCAAGACTGCGATCTGGGCTCTAAACTCTAGAATCGATCAGATCGGAGCAAAATTTAGAAATTATAGACTCTACGTTCGTTCTTGAGTGCCACCGCAAGCAAGTACTAGAAAGGAGACTACTGCCGGGGTGTCTCCAAGTTGCATGGTTACATATTTTGGTTAGTTCCGACAGTTGCAGTGCGTACGAAAATGCAGAATGTGCGGCGAACATGGCTGGCTGTTGGTTTTTCTTTTCTAAACTAGATGGTTTAAGAGGTAAGGAGTTGTTCCATGCTGCAGTTGATCGGAGACCGAATTTCCTGAAGCATGCCTGTGTTCAAATCTCTATGCATTTGTTCGAAGAACAAGCTTTGGTGGGTATGCATGCGTGTTCAAAGTCTTCGTGCTATGCCCTTGGATAGATGACCGGCTTTTGAGCACAGATTGTAATGCTTGGCTTAAGCCTCTGCTCGATGGTGGCATTTTACCATTGGAGGTGCTTGCCAGTGGTTGCTTTGCCTGGACAGATTTGGGGATAATCAAGGGCATCTGGGGACAGAATTGTTGGTGCAAGAGCATTGAGTTGTTTTGGGGAGAAGTGGTCTATGTGCAGTGGCCGGTGCTTCACCGCTTCAAGCCTGATGGTCGGTCATTTTGAAGTGACCAAACTGTGTTTCTTGGGTTGTGGCTATTGGTGGGCTTTAACCACCGAATAAAAAAAAAATCAATAAATAAATGCTACCTGCACATTGTATGCTAGACATTATCAACTGCAGTGGCTGAGTATAAAGCACCTGTAGCACACAACACATACGTTGACGTTTTTGTGCCCTTCAAATTGCAAAAAAGTTTTAAAAAGATGTGTGGACCTTGTAGAGGCAGGTGGGAAATATCTGAGGCTTGTGTGCTTGTTTAGAACTGTTGAAGGGTGCATTGTTATGGGGCCAAGTTCAGAGCAGTGGCCTGGTGAGTGGCAGTGGCCTGATGTTTGGTCTGCTGCGTGTTTTAGCAAGTGCTTTTCTTGGTTGAGAAGTTGCCTCCTAATGCAGCGCATGCAAGCTGCATCATATCGGTTGTCTGTAGAACTGCCTTGAAAGATTTTATTACTACCAAGGCTCCCTTGTGGGAGCCTGTTATGCCTACTTACTAGCAACCTATTGACTTTGTATAACGTTATGAACACGGTGCCCTATCTAACTACAAGATCTTAAGAGATGTATAATTGTCCTTGATAGGAGCAAGTTCATTATAAGGCAGTTTTTCAGGACGTATGCATTTGACGTGTGACCATACTGTGCTATAAAAAAAATACCCACACTGATGAGTCTGCAATAAGACCTGCAATGAAGAAAAGGTTGTCTCTATGTTCTAGAAACTTTATGTAGTGAGCATTTCTTCAAAATGCTGGTGCTCCCTTAAACAAAAAAAAAAAGCTTGCCCCTAACCTCGCTTTCTAGTGCCTAAAATCGGGCTTTATTATGGGCATATTTTCGTAAAGTATTTCAAGGTATTCTGTTGTGTAGTACGGAGTATAGATAATTTTGGGAGACATGTCTGTGGGGCTAAAGAGCTATTTTGGAAGCCTATGTTCTTACTTGTGGTGTCATTCACCTGTGTTCCTGCAGTCAACGTCCTTCACTATAATATTGTGGGACATGTCACGATCATCCTGGACACTACTGTGCTCCAGACAAAAGAAAAATCGGATCTTTGATAAATTGGTGATTTAACACCAGATAACAAGCTGCGAAAACTAGCCTGGACATATCGGACCCCAGCCAACAAACAGGGGGGGGGGGGGGGGGGAGGGAATGCATGTGTGAGCTCCAGTCTGATACTTTGAGCATGACTGAATTAAAATGTGTTTAAAGTGAACTAGGAACTTGACTGCACTAAGCATTCGTTGTTCAGTACCGTGCAGTCTTCCAGTAATTGAGGAAGTAATAAGATATTTTTTTTTTCTGACAATACTTCAAAGAAGCTGTCGACAGTGTGTACAATTTGAGACAAATTGAATATTACGGCTTCTTTTTGTGCTGTGAGAAATGTCGGGGTTTTTTAAATAAAAAAGATTGTGTAAATATTGCTTTGTTTGCCCTGTCTTTTATGTCTGAATGTCACAGCACACACACCTGACATTAACGGTGATGAATGAACAATTGTAACGACGTGTGCGGCCTTCCTGCTAGGCCTAACACCCAAAAGCGCACGAGGAGCGTTTGGCGCGCTTGTTTTAGAGAGTGTACATTGCTTCTCCAAACAAAGTCTGGTTTTGTCTTGCCGTTTAACGTTGAAAACTCGTTATCAACTAACGTCGTTTTAAAACAAAAACTGTTGGCGGGAATCTTGAGTACGAAACTGCGGGGAGTAAATTTGATTGAGTGGAGTGTGTGCGAATACGTGCTTGCGGCTTCACGTGTATCTGTTTACGTGCGATCGTCTGCTTTTCGTGGCTGTTTTGGTGTCGCCGTTCTGCCGGAATCGTGTGCCCGTGTGTCCCGGCGTCCTTTAAATGTGGTACGTACAAGTTCTCGCACGCTTTCCAACGCGGCCGGCGATTACCGACAACGCGCCTTGTCGGCGCCAACGCGGCGCTCGCCGTGGCATCGCGGTTGCGTATGCGTGCACTCCGTAAACGCACATGTGGCCTGTCGCGATCGGCAAGTTTTACAGAACCGACGTGTTGGATATTTGATTTACGTTTCGCTTACCGAACTACGGTTCTCCACGATCTCGGTAATGTGCGAGGTATAGCCGATCACGTTGATCCTTGAGTCTGAGCCTACGTTTGTTATTCGCGATATCCCAAAGTCACAAGATTCTCATTGCACGGATGGTTTTGTTTTATTTTATTCCGGCCGCGCGTTCCAGCGCTTGGTGCGCTGCTAAGGCGACGATTGTAACCTCAAATAACGCTTGGCGTTAGAGCAAAAAAAAAAAAAAGTCGCCGTTCTTGAATTGTTTAATGCGGCATCGCTAAGACAAACAAAAGGGCAACAAAACAAGAAGAAAAGCTGAAATGAAAGCACTTGTTGAAGGCGGCATCGCTCGCTGGGAGCGTCGCGGTCGCCGCCGAAGCGACCTCTCGTGCTTCTTGGGGGTCTAATTTCGTTTTTTTGTTTTTTCACCCCTCTCGTGCTGCCATCCAGCGGCAAAGTCCTGCGCCACGCCATTTTGTTTGGTGTTGTCCGTGGTGTTTTTTCTAGTGTTGTTTTGTTTGTGCGTCTATGTGTGTTGTCTGTCCAAGTCCGTTGTGCTCCGTAGGTAATGTGCCTTTCACCTATCTCTCTAATAAGCTAACCTGTGCGGGCCCGGCGAGCGCTTCGAGAGGTGTGCCGTGTGGACGCATTGGGTCGCACGTTTAAAGGTCTGCGCCCGCCGCCGGCATGGCATGGCATTTCGAGTTCGAGATCAACAAGAAAAAAAAAAAAAGCAAAAGTCGCCCGTCTCTCCGCCGAGTTTGCACAATCGGTGCCCGTCTTGATTTCTTGCCGCAGAACAACGCCTTCGTTTTCTGATCAACGCGATCCGAAGCGAAGCAATACGTTTACGGAGAGAAAAAAAAAAAAAATGCCACCTCCCCCCTCTGCCTTCGCGCTGCTAGCAACCGGTGCCTTAAGCTGGCGAGTTGCTTGACCCCTAGGTTCGTGTTGGCCAGGCATTCCGGTTAAATCGCAAGCACGCTTCGTTCAGTTGTAGTTGTCGCATGCGTTCTCGCATCTTTGGGTGACCGCGAACGCCGATGCGAGAGAGAGACGCGATTTTTTTTTTTTCATTGGAGGAAAACAAAAGCAACCCCCGATCTCCGAGAAAAAAAACGTATGGCCGAGAAGGAAGAAAAGGCGAATGAAAAGTAACGGTTTGGTTTCGTGCGTGAACTCAGTGTTCGGACGAAAAAAAAAAAAAAAGATCGCAGACACACTTTAGGCTAATGTAGTTAAGGGCCTCCGGTTGGTCGTTCGCAGGATGTGTCCAGAACTCAACGTGCCGTTTCGCTATCGAGTCCTTCGAACAAACACTCCGACCGAACCCCTGTTCATATAACGCGTGCCGAAGATTCTTCCTCTAAAAAATAATCAAATAGGATGAAGCCGTGCCGGTATGGATTGCACGCCGACTCATGCAATGGTCACGCATTCTTCGAAACTTGAGAAGCATATCGCCCCGCCGTTATTTATTTTTTGTCTTCGATCGTCCGTTGTATGGCTCCCATTGAAAAAAAAAAGAAAGCGCGTTGGGAATGGCTCGTTTGCTGTACATGTGTTTCCGAAAGTGATAGTAGCGTCGCGTTTGACTTGGCAATCGCGCCTACGCTTCGAGAAATATACGAGTGTTCGGAAAGCAAGCGGATTTCTGCCTTGCGGAAAGAAGGCTGTCGCGCCCTTACAGGTCTCGACCTTCGCCTCGTGAACCTTTTTTTTTTTTTTCCGAGCGCGCGGGTTCGAATGCCACGGTCGAATCGGCCGAGGCCACGCGTGATTTGCGAAAGGCGGCTTCCGATCGGAGTATTGCACACGTGACGCCGTACGAGAGAGCAGCCTTGCACGTTTGCGTAATACGCGTTTTGCGTTCTTCACTTGCACTGATGAATTCGGCGTATCGCCGGGCCCGCGCAGCCATAAAATGCAGTGCCTAATCGTGTTTTTTTTTTTCTGTGTGTTCTGATTCTGTCGTTGCCTGTTTGTGGGGTCAACGATATTGTTGACTATCAGCGCCCTGTTAAAACGAACAAAAGGTGACCATAATCTCCTCGACTTGGCGTGATGCAGTGTTTTGTACACGTTCTGTGAAACATTTAATACCAAACCACGCGTAGAATCGGGTCAACAGTGCGTTCTTCTCGAAAGTGGCCACCTCTATTTGGTGCACAGCTAATGAAAAATCGCGTAGCTCATTTTGGAAATTATTGAGCATCTATTCCTAACATGAAGAACTGTAATAACTATAATCATTGGTGTCTGTATTGATTCAAGCTCAGTTTCTCGAGCCTTGGGTTCAGTTAAGTTGCACAAAATCTTTCGTTTCCGTGCCTGTTGTAATAGGTGCTTTATTGTTTATGTGTTCGAAAGTCCTTTCTGGCTACACTCTTGAATGGTGAGTGCGAACCTCTGTTATGAGCTGTACGGCACACAGAGGCAATAATATATGTCAGAGCATTTGTTGCCTACAAGGCCAGGAACAATAAGTCTATAATTCGACAGAGCTTCATAAGTTTATGCATTGTTCAGCACAGAACACATCTACGATGCGTGGTAGATGTGTGAAACGAAACTGCTCAGCTTAGTAGCTTACAGACTAATTACCTAAGACATGGGGGCACTGCAAGCTTTAGCTGTTAAGCCGATGTTTTGTTGTTTTTTGTTCGTAGCGATGTGAATCAATGACGCCATGAAACGTCGGACGCACCAGGCAGCCCGTTGTGACGTATATGCATTTATCGTAACACTGTTTGTTTAGATGTTAACGATACAAAATGCAAAGGTTAAGAGCCCAATATGGTGGTACTCGAACCTGTCCATAAAATAGTCTATAAGACTTCAAAGATACAAGATCTTGGCTTGCTAAAAGGCAAGGGTATCTCGGTGGCATCGAAGCAGACAGTCTGTAGGAAGATACTGAAGGAATTGAATATGCGTAAGCACTTGTCACAGAGTGCATGACTTCGACACCCGGTGCATAACGTGTTGTTTCATCTCACATGCCAACTGTTAGCTTTACATATCTCGTGTTGTGGCTTTTTTACACAGTCAGAAAACAGGTACCAAGTCGGTTTCAAAATTTGTGTTTCTTCAAAACTTTTGGTTGAAGTCTAAATCAATCTCCCAGTTTCATACCCAACCAGACAGACTTCTGTCGAATGTTTATGTTCAACATTCTTGATGTTTGGAGTGTGACCTGTAATAGCTTTGATATCTATACCCGTTGCTGGAAATGTATCCACAAGACACCTTCCGTGCGGTAGTCACCGTTTAGCTAGACAGATCTGCTTAAATGCTGCTAAAAGGGGTGCAAGCTCTAAGTGAGCATTTCTGGGAAACTGTACCCTTAATTAAAAACATGGTGTGCTGGATGGCGCACGTTCATTACGGCGAGAATATATTACATTGTGTCCATGACATCTTTTCTTCATTTTGTTAAGAACAGTACTGCGAAGCGAGATAGCTGTTGGGTGGATAGACGTTACGTTTCAAAGTTGGGGGTGCCACCATCTTGGGCGGTTAAACAAGCGATTTGTTATTTTTTCCTGTCACGATGCGAATCCCTAAAGTAATGAAAGTCGACTGCACCAGCTTGACTGTTTGCGTGTATACGTGTGTACTGTAGCACCGCTCGTTTATTTGTTGAAGGTACAAAGTGGAAAAGATACTGTTCATTATGAAGGCACTGAAACCCATCCATTGAATAGTCCGTATGTGTACACCAAAGGCTTTCTAGGAAGCACTAACAGTTGTTCAGCAATGAATCTCTGCTATCCGTTGTGGGTTAAGGCAGCGCTGGAAGGTGATGACAAAAAAAAACTGGACTGTGCACAGACAAAGGGCATCTAACAACTGAATTCATTCAAACTAAAAAAACGAAGGGGGTACTGAAGGCAGACCCGTTTCCTTGTCTTTTCGTTTAAATAAATTGAGTTAATATATGTGCTTTGTCTGTGCACAATCCAGATTTTTTGGTTCTAAACTTAGTAGCGCTGCTTTTAGCCACAGTATGTTCAAACTAGCCCTTACACAACCTTTTCTTATATCAGTTGGCTCCTAGTTTGACCTCTGGCCAGCGACCACGAGAATGGGTACGGGAGCAAAGGAAGGCTATCTTTTAGGTGAAAGTAGATTTCGTCGCGCAAACAGCGCCCTTTTAGACATAAATACGAACTTGTAAGAGATGTTCACGGTTACTTAGTCTGCACAGTGATTGCACGAATGACGCTGCGTTATCGTTTGAGCCATTACGAGGGTGTAACACGCTCATATTCAGCACACTCTCACAGAAAAGCAGTGGCAAAAATAATTGATATAAACATAATGCATCCTGAAACAAGTCATGAAGGGCTTGGGAAGCAGGTCTGAACATGCAGACACTTTTCATA